GACCAGTTGACTAATTGGGGTCAGCCCTAATACACACACACACACACAGTGGTTGTGCTACTGCCACCAGATATGGTCAATTTCGACTATGCCTTCAAATCAATCTTCCAGTTAAGTGTTTCAGATGCAGTGGCGGCTCCTGAAAAAATTCTCAGGGGGGGCAATTTTTCTGATGATTTAGGTGACCTACACACATTTAAAAAAAGATATGTCCAGCAACAACATGAAGACAGGGGCAGCATATAAGTCAATACTGATATACACATTACTTGCTTCAAAAAGGCCTCATGGTTGAATTGGAAATATGTGCACCTGAGCATAATTCACAACAAGCAAGCAGGAGCTTTTGATAGAGGCTACTGAAAACATTGATGCAAGTTATTGGTAATAAGAAATTTTTATAGACTTCCATATTCTGCCCTCTTGTATAGATTTGTGAAAATGAACAGTGATAGACATTTTGCCTGAAAACAGAATTTGAAAATAATTTCTAGAAAAGGTAAACACAGCTATCTGTATGGCTTTGTAAAAATGAACAACCATATTCTGGGCAATTGTATAGATTTGTAAATATGAACAACCATATTCTGGCCAATTGTATAGATTTGTAAAAATGAACAGATTTTTTTTTTTTTTTTACTTAAAAAAAAATGAAAAATAACTATTTTAAACAACATCAACTGTGAACTGATTTGGGCGTGTGTGTGTTAAAGAGACAGACAGGGAGGGACAAAGAGAGAGAGAGGCTACATTACTTGTACTGAAACTGTTCTAGCTTGCTGCATGATCAAATTCAGCTGATGCGCATAGCAATGCACGTAATAGGCATTCTTGAAATGCTCACGCACCTTTTGCTGCACACCAGCCTTCTCTCACCCCATCACACTGGCTCCATCGTAAGCTTGCGCAATGAGTTTGACTTTCTCGTCGTCGGCAAAAAGACCGTTCAGTCTCTCCAAAAGCACACTGGCGATTGAGACTGAGGTTGATTCCGAGATGGGAAGGAACTCAAAAAAGCGCTCCTGCACTTTGTGGTTGCTATCTATGTACCTCAGCACAAGCACCAGCTGTGTCTGTGTAGAAATGTCTGTGGTCTCGTCAGCTTGGATAGCTACGAAGTTCGCCGACTTCACCTCCTCCACAATATGTTCCCTCATGACCGCTAGCATACACTCCAGTAGCTCGTTTTGAATGGTCTTTGATGTTCCCTTGAAAACTTTAGCATTTTTAAGATGGTCATCAAACACCTCATCTAATTGTGCCACAAAGTTGACAAGTCCAAGAAAAATACCAGGGTTGGTGGAGCCCTCAGTTTCATCTTTGCCTCGCAAAGCTAGCCATCTTGACAGTTGTACGTGAATTGATTGACGCTGCTACCCGCTCTTTTCTTAGTTATGTTCATGGTTACTTATGTTACGTATGACGAAAGCGCGTAAGTGCAAGCCCTCCCGGAACCCATAGAGATTGTATTGAAAGCTCTGATATTTGAAAAAAAAAATATTTTACATGATAGTCTATGAGAGACTCCTGGGCGATTTTCAACCTGACTGAAATCGCCCCAAAAGGGGCGGGGCCATTTGAAGCACGACTTTAGCCTGATTGGACATTTAGTGGCAGATCAGACGTCTAGATTAGAACACTGATAACTACTGTTGCCGTGATATAATTGATTAGAAAAAAAATCCCTTCCTTTTCCCGTTTGGCAGTGCGTCGCCCATATCGCCCTAATGAACACACCGCCCCTGTTCAGATTACTGTTCTGAGGTTTTACTGCAGATTTCTAATGATGGAGGATGATATTTCTCAATGGAAGAATAAGATTGATTGGAAGAAGGCTTTGGGACTCAATTTGTACTGCATTATGTTATTTAATTATTCACATAAGGAATATATAAAGTTCTGATTTATTACCCCTTCGTACACCAAGAGCGACATTTTGCTTAAGCAAATGGCAGTGAGCCAACTAACCATAACATTTCAAATAGACCGGATGGATGGCATATTATCCAATCGCCCCAAATATTTCACCATCTCTTAAATGTCTTAACACCAAATTTGTTGAAACATTTACAGTGCATTCGGAAAGTATTCAGACCCCTTGACTTATTCCACATTTTGTTACATTACAGCCTTTTTATCAAATGGATTAAATCGTTTTTTCCCCTCATCAATCTACACACAATACCCCATAATGACAAAGCAAAAACAGGTTTTTAAGAAATTAAAAAAAAAAAACTTTACATTTTTACATTTGAGTCATTTAGCAGACGCTCTTATCCAGAGCGACTTACAGTTAGTGAGTGTTTTTTTTATTTTTATTTTTACTGGCCCTCTGTGGGTTTCAAGGTAAGGTAAAAAATAAATAAAAATAAAATGAAATATTACATTTGCGTAAGTATTCAGACCCTTTACTCAGTACTGTTGAATCACCATTGGCAGCAATTACAACCTTCTTTGGTATGACGCTACAATCTTGGCACACCTGTATTTGGGGAATTTCTCCCATTTTTCTCTGCTGATCCTCTCAAACTCTGTCAGGTTGGATGGGGAGCGTCGCTGCACAGCTATTTTCAGGTCTTTCCAGAGATGTTCGATCGGGTTCAAGTCTGGGCTCTGGCTGGGCCACTCAAGGACATTTTTTTTTTCCCGAAAGCCATCCCAGCGTGGTCATTAGGTGTGTGTGCTAGGGTCGTTGTCACCTGTTGGAAAGGTGACTTTCGCTCCAGTCCGGGGACTTGAGAGACTCTCCGAAGCACTCTGGTTTCATCAGGATCTCTCTGGTACTTCGCTCCGTGGTATTCGTCGTCTGACCTCGCCTCAGTTCTTCCCCCCCATACTCTCCAAAATCCCTGCCACTGAAAAACATCCACAGCATGATACTGCCACCACCATGCTTCAGCCGTAGGGGATGGTGCCAGGTTTCCTCCAGACGTTGACGGCTTGTTTCTCATGGTCTGAGAGTCCTTTAGGTGCCTTTTGGCAAACTCCAAGCGGGCTGTCATGTGCCTTTTCCTGAGGAGTGGGTTCCGTCTGGCCACTCTACCATAAAGGCCTGATTGGTGGAGTGCAGAGATGGTAGTCCTTCTGGAAGGTTCTCCCATCTCCACAGAGGAACCCTGGAGCTCTGTCAGGGTCACCATCGGGTTCTAAGTCACCTCCCTGACCAAGGCCCTTCTCCTCCGATTGCTCAGTTTGGCCAGGCGGCCAGCTCTAGTAAGAGTCTTGGTGGTTCCAAACTTCTTCCATTTTAAGAATGATGGAGGCCACTGTGTTCTTGGGGACCTTCAATGCTGCAGACATTTTTTGGTACCCTTCCCCAGATCTGTGCCTCGACACAATCCTGTCTCGGCTCTACGGACAATTCCTTCGACCTCATGGCTGGGTTTTTGGTCTGACATGCACTGTTAACTGTGGGACCTTTATATAGACAGGTGTGTGCCTTTCCAAATCATGTCAAATCAATTGCATTTACCACAGGTGGACTCCAATCTAGTTGTAGAAACGTCTCAAGGATGATCAATGGAAACAGGATGCACCTGAGCTCAATTTCGAGTCTCATAGCAAAGGATCTGAATACTTATGTAAATAAGGTATTTCAGTTTTTTATTTGTAATACATTTGCAAAAATGTCTAAACCTGTTTTTGCTTTGTTATTATGCGGTATTGTGTGTACAATGTTGAGGGGGAAAAAATATTTAATCAATTTTAGAAAAAGGCTGTAACGTAACAAAATGTGGAAAAAGTCAAGTGGTCTGAATACTTTCAGAGTGCACTGTAGATAACATTCAATATCATGGATACTAATTGGACCCGTGTTTGAGTATTTGTCTTGCTATAACCTAAGGAGCCTATAAAACGTCTTGATAGAAAGGGGATTGCTTAGCTCATGGCTGAAGAGGGATATTATGCGAATAGTCATTGACTCTCCAGTGAAAGGTCTAATGCAGATAATGTACGCTGTATTATGGGGTTCCATGCATAACATAAAATGGCCCTTTTCCCAACATAATAGATGAATTCAAGTCAGTGTGCCGCAGCCTGCCTAGTGTCCCTTTGTCCAGGATGGTTTCTGTCTAGGCCACCATAGAAATATAATTACTAGAACAGACATTCCATTCAAGTCGATGTTCTGTGATGGGTAGGAATTATTTTTCTATACTATGCTGTCAACTCCACACGGCAGACAGACAGACACATAGACACGGGGGGAGGGGGTCCTTTTGGTTGTCATAGCGACTTACACCCCCCCCCCCCCCCCCCCCCCCTTCTAAGATGTATTTATTTATTTATTTGAGGAAAACATGCAGTGAGAGAGATTTTGTGTTCATTTGTTCTACTGACTTCAGGAATGGATGTCGGGTTTTGGGGAGACAAATTAAAATGGAATATTCTTGTTCTCATTGTCACAACTAGGATACATTCTTTCATTTTGAGAGATGCTGGCCCCGCTGTAAAATGATTCCCTAGCCTTAGCCCCCTAGTGTCATAACAACTAGGACATTTGGCCCATGGACTGAGTAGATAGAAACCTGTCTGGTACAGGACAGGTGGTGCAGAGCTATTGATTCAGCCTGGAGGTGTAGTAGCTTTTCTTTGTTCAGGTCTCATAGCTTTGATTCTGAACGGTGTTGAGCATCAACACATTGTCCCTCCTCAGCCTTCTGCAGCAGCCGTGGAATTCAGTATTTTTGCCGTGCTCTTCGTTTGCCCTTGACAACGAGCTTGTGCTCGGCAGACGCTTCCGACGGCGAGTCAGTGACGCTATGCTGATTATTTAATATCGCGCAAATGTTGGCCAGTCCCAAAAAAATATATAAGAATAATATTTATTTAAGACCAAAATGGCTGCCTAACAGATCAATTTGGGTGTATATTTCAGATGCAAGATGGCCAGATACTGTTTGACTATCCCACAGCTGTTTTACCCATCTCAAGAGGAAAAACCTGAGAAGAAGAATTGCTGCCTATCTAACAGATCGATTTGTGTCTTTATTTTTCAGATGGAAGATGGCCATACACTGTATGACTACAACGTGGGTCTGAACGACATCGTCCAGCTGCTCATCCGTTCCCAAGCGGGGGACGCTCCAGACAGTCCCCTCATCCCTCCCTCCGTCATCTCCCCTGTCGTCAGCCCCAAGGAGTGTGACACAATGCCCATGTCCTGCAGTACAGCTCTGCCACCCAACACCACAACTGGTGCAACTACCACCCCCCCCCACTCTAAGCTTACCACCGTGGCCCCAACACCTACCCCCAAACCCACCACAGTCAACAACAACACAACCACCACTGGCAACACCAGAACTACCACCAACACCAGTACAACTGCCAGTAAGAAAATGAGTAACACCAGTAAACCCAATAACAACGGAGACAAGTCTTCTTCTGGTCCACCTGCACCGCTGGAGAAGCTCGACAACCAGCCTTCAACCTCTACACGTCCCTTCCTCATAGATGCGGGCATTGGGGTGTTCAAGGTAAGAGAAGGATAACTTGCTGGATTGTGGTACCATTTTCTCTCAGGTTGATTCATTTGTTGTGGTTTGTGTACTAAAGGCTGTGGGATAATACGATATAGAATAAGAATATAATTAAGCAAAAAGGCCCAAGGGGGTGTGGACGCAACGCGTCGTGCCTGGATATAGCCATTTACATTACATTTTAGTCATTTAGCAGACGCTCTTATCCAGAGCGACTTACAGTTAGTGAATACATTTTTTTAATTTTTTTATACTGGCCCCCCGTGGGAATCGAACCCACAACCCTGGCGTTGCAAACGCCATGCTCTATCAACTGAGCTACATCCCTGCCGGCCATTCCCTCCCCTACCCTGGACGACGCTGGGCCAATTGTGCGCCGCCCATGAGTCTCCCGGTCGCGGCCGGCTGCGACAGAGCCTGGATTCGAACCAGGATCTCTAGTGGCACAGTTAGCACTGCGAAGCAGTGCCTTAGACCACTGCGCCACTCAGGAGACCGTGGTATATTGGTGGTATACCACAAACCCCTGAGGTGCCTTATTGCTATTATAAACTGGTTACCAACGTAATTAGAACAGTAATAAAAAAAGATGTGTCATACCCGTGGAATACGGTCTGATATACCACAGCTTTCAGCCAATCAGCATTCAGGGCTCGAAACACCCAGTTTATAAAGTCTGATTTACCACAGCTTTCAGCTATTCAGCATTCAGGAACCAAATGACCTAGTTTATAATACCTTTTCGCTCCGGTCCCCCTTCCAGCATTGGGGAACATCCCACGCACCCCCTGCGTGCACCACGTCTTTTTCTAAGGGCACAAGCACTGTTCATGACACAAACTGTTCACACCCATCTTGTTGGTGCAGAGAACATTTTGCAGGTTTGAAGCTCATTTTCTTGCAATTCTATACATTTTGCCATGTCTAATGTGTATTCATGTGATATTTGAATGACTCAAACATTACAACAAAATCTATGGGCTAAAAAATAGAGCTAAGAAATGTTAGCTGACATGGGCTAGTTGATCTGGACATTTGTATGGATGGATGGATGGATGGATGGATGGATGGATGGCATAACAAGAGGAAAGCTGATGATGCACTACCCAATTTCGAAATTGCACCTTGTGCATTCTACTATTACGACTTTCAATAGTAAGTTGAAAGCCGGCCGTACTGAGTTCCAAAACAAAAAAGAACCCGCTCCCCCTGTGCCTCCCCTGCCAATCCCTTGTGCCCCACAGTTTGAAAACCACTGATATAGAATAAGATTCTGTTCATTCAATAATGGATGAGAACCAGCTGAGCGACGCCCAACAGTAAGTATGCTTGTGTCTGGAAAGGTTTCAAGCCTGACTTTCTGTCCTCTACTGTAGCTCAGTTGGTTATATAGCATTCACAATTAAGGAGATACTGACATGTTATATAGAGAGCATTCACAATTTAGGAGATACTGACATATGTTTTGTCATTCATTTCCTTGATGTCACTGGCACGCCAACAGCAAGTCAAGCGGCCTCATTTCGCCACCTTTTCCCCTTTGCATTGCTGTGGTTTGGATCCACATGCCTGTGGTAGTTTGAATTGGCAGCCGCCTCTCAACTCCCTCAGCGTACTGTGCTCAATCTCCATAGTGACCGGCCTAACCAGACACAGGGCTCTGGAGTGTTTAGCTACTGTAGCAGGTCCAGTGGTGTGGCTGTCTGTCTATCTGACTGGCTGTCTGTCTATCTGACTGGCTTGTGTGTGCATATCCCTACTCTCCCCGAGTCTCCCTTGGAGAGTGGGGTCACAGCCAGGGGAGGTCTCCCCGAGTCACCCTTGGAGAGTGGGGTCACAGCCAGGGGAGGTCTCCCCGAGTCTCCCTTGGAGAGTGGGGTCACAGCCAGGGGAGGTCTCCCCGAGTCTCCCTTGGAGAGTGGGGTCACAGCCAGGGGAGGTCTCCCCGAGTCTCCCTTGGAGAGTGGGGTCACAGCCAGGGGAGGTCTCCCCGAGTCTCCCTTGGAGAGTGGGGTCACAGCCAGGGGAGGTGGATATGTTGTTCCTGGCCCTTATCCACAAAGTCTCAGTAGGAGTGCTGCTATAGGATCAGCCTTTCAGATCATAATGAATAGGATTTATATGGACAGGGGGGGGACATGGTCATACATCAGCACTCCTGCTCTGATAAGCATTTTGAATACAGGCCCTGTACTCAAGTCTTCCTGTTGAATGATGTCTGGACAGGACTGGACCACATCTTTTACCTCATGGTATGTTGCTCTACAGATTTAATCTCCCCTTAGAATCAGATATCAGATTCTGAAAACCTTATTACCATGGAACAAATGGTTGCTAGGAATTTCTCTTGGTATTTTTTTATTGTTCATAATCACTTACAGTAAACGGTAGAGCTGACACGTTTTGATAGACATGTCCTGTTAACAGTTAACACCAAAGCCAAGCTGCAGGGGAGCGTGGGCCTAAAAATGCCAAGCAGACCCACGCTAAGAGACACACTATACCCAGAGCTCAGCCCTGAGAGAGAGCCTGCTGCTGGCGAACCACAGCGGCTGTAAAAGATATGTGCTGGAACATGGACAGGACAGTCTCTTGGCTCGAAGCTTATAGCACCATCAAGGAGATGACTGCAGCTGTGTTTTCAGTTCCTGCTGTGTTTTTATCACGTACACATACACTACATGGCCAAAACTATGGATCTCGCTTTGTGCACAGGGGCATTGTCATGCTGAAATAGGAAAGGGCCTTCCCCAAACTGTTACCACAAAGTTGGAAGCACAGAATTGTCTAGAATGTCATTATATGCTGTAGCGTTAAGATTTCCCTTCACTGGAACTAAGGGGCCTAGCCTGAACCATGAAAAACAGCCCCAGACCATTATTCCTCCTCCACCAAACTTTGGCACTATTTGGCACTATGCATTCGGGCAGGTAGCGTTCTCCTGGCATCCGCCAAACCCAGATTAGTCTGTCGGACTGCCAGATGGTGAAGCGTGATTCATCACTCCAGAGAACGCGTTTCCACTGCTCCAGAGTCCAATGGTGGTGAGCTTTACACCACTCCAGCCGACGCTTGGCATTGCACATGGTGTTCTTAGGCTTGTGTGCGGCTGCTCGGCCATGGAAACCCATTTCATGAAGCTCCCGACAAACAGTTATTGTGCTGACGTTGCTTCCAGAGTAACTTTGGAACTCGGTAGTGAGTGTTGCAACCGAGGACAGACGATTTTTACATGCTACGTGCTTCACCACTCAGCGGTCCCGTTCTGTGAGCTTGTGTGGCCTACCACTTCGCGGCTGAGCCGTTGTTGCTCCTAAACGTTTCCACTTCACAATAACAGCACTTACAGTGGACCGGGGAAGCTCTAGCAGGGCAGAGATTTGACAACTGACTTGTTGGAAAGGTGGCATCCTATGACGGTGCCACGTTGAAAGTCAGTGAGCTCTTTAGTACTGGCCATTCTACTGCCAATGTTTGTCTATGTAGATTGCATGGCTGTGTGCTCGATTTTATACACCTGTCAGCAACGGGTGTCGCTGAAATAGCCAAATCCACTAATTTGAAGGGGTGTCCACATTCTTTTGGCCTTGTAGTGTACTAACAGGATTACTTAAACACTCAAATGTACCGGTGTGCACTCTGACTCACTGTCTAATAAATGGCATATATTATTATATTATGAGTAAGGAGATGACTGACCAGCAAACAGGTTTACTCAGTAGAGAAAACAGACAAGGTAAGCACACCCACACATAATGAACAGGATGTAGTATATGTACTGTATGTACGTAGTGTGAACAGGAAATAGTAGCTCTATGTAAACTTCAAGTGAACAGAAACGCCCAAAAAATCTGCCTCACTTTGATACTGCTACTGATCCGGAGTACAGTAGTAATGAACTCTAGTTCCTCTATTGAACGCTAATGTTTGTTCATTATCAATTGTAGCAGGTTACTGGTGTTATTGATGTGCTACTGATTTTGGTGCGACTTGCAGGTTAAGATTTTAAATGTACCGGTATTTCTCAAACCCAGTAGTTGGCATGTGGCCCAGAGGATGTCCCTGTCAATTAGCAGTCCCTGTGGGCCTGTAGAGATGAGCATGTCTGCTTTCACTATCCATCTCCCCTGGAGCTGATGACAGAACCACATAAAAACAGCATCCTGACTGAAGGCTCGGTCTGATTCTTATGTAGATGTGAATTAATATGGAAGGGTACAAGCTTTGTCCTTATAAACAGGCTGGTGGGTTTTGGAGACTAGGCTTGGAGTCAATTCCATTTAAATTCAGGAATTATAATTTTATTTACTTCCTGAATTGACCCCCAAACCCCACTGTCCCTCCCAGCCTAACCCTAACTCAACTCTTTTTCTCAAGGCCTTTACAACAATGTCTGATACTGTATATTCTGCATGTGTACAAGGCTGAGATCTGGATTGAGATGGCCTCTTGATGCGTCCTCAGTTTGTGTTATGATGCGTAATGTAGTAAGCTAATAGAGTTAGCCGCTCAGGGTGATGTCACTGTTCTGGAATGTTCATCATCAGTTCTGGAATCTTCATCAGTGAGTTCTTCAGAGAGTGTTTGTTGACAGAGGCAAAGGGGGGACAGAGAGAACCTCCATCCACTGTAGCCATGAAACACATTGTAAACATTGCTATGCTCAGAGGTCCCAGACAGCCTGTAGTTGGCCTTGCCCCTCCCTGTCTCCTAGCTCTGTTATGCATGTGAGCTGCTCATGTCCCGTATACAGAGGCAAGGTGACGCATTTATAGCATAGTCAAAGGTGTTTAGCTAACACTGGAGACAGCGTGACTCTCTCATTTTGTCACTAATCATTAACTAACTTTTTCTCTTATCAAAACCTTCCATTGCCCATGTAACTGAGGATTCTTTTCAGCCACTTTGTTTGTTCATGATGTCAACAAAAGTAAAAAGGCTTTGACTTATAGGAAGACCTTTCTTAACATTTCATCACTATCCTTGAAATGTCCCATGAGTCTGTTGCTTAGTTTACCCACAAACCTGTTATTGCTTTCATCAGTACTCCAAGCCAGCTGCACTCTGCACATCATTTATTTTTTATTTTTTATTGTATGTGCATTTTATTCATAGTTGAAAGGTAAACTAATTTTCTGTTATTTTTCCCCTTTCAGATAAACGAGTTGGTGGACTGCAGAGACATAAGCATCGGTGCCTGGTTTGAAGCCAGCATTGACAACGTGTTACGCACCCCAAAGGGACAGAACAGCACCAGTAAAGCAGCTCCTACAGCAGGGAAAGTCGGCAGGCCTAGCAAAAGGACTAACGGCAAGCTGGAGACAGAGCCAGGCCAAGGCCAAAGCCACCTCTCCTCCTCAGACAATAATAATAATAATAATGGGAATAATTCTTCTTCTGCATTGAACTCTGACAGTAGTGGGTCAGGGGCTGGGCCCTCCACCTCTCAAACAGACTATACCGTCACAGACAAAGAGAAGGAGGATGTGACGTATCATATCAGATATGATGAGTAAGTTGATGCACCTGGGAAAAACGAGCACAGCTTGTCAGTGTTTTCTGACCTACTAGGCTTGCTATCGCAGATTAATATTTTCCTTTTTGTTTGCTCACTGTTTTAGAAAGGTTTAATTAAGTTTGGTGGGGTTAACCAACTGTGAGTGGTGATGGATCCAACCAGGTAAGTAAGGAGTGTGTAGATTGGGGTGCTTGGGAGTTCAGGAAGAGGTGAGATTGCATGTTATGTATGAATGAATAAATAAATTAGTGATCTAAGCCATAAAAATGGCTGTATAACATGATATGCACTTACAGTATGTAGTGATGCACCATTAGATACAGAGGAGGAGAGATTACATGCCATATAAATCGCCATAGAGAGTAGCTATCAATCTCTTCAGCCATTGGCCATATTTCAATATGATCAGTGCTTGACTTGGACAGGAGCTCACCGGAGCTGACAACTGGCACCTCACATTTTTCTACTGCTTAAGCTCCTGGTTCTCTTATAGAATATTAGTTCAAAAGTATTGTGGAGCTCCTGCACCTAAATATACACAGTACTGGCACCCAAAATGAGTGCCGGCACCTATTTCAGTCCAAGCCATATAAATCGCCATATATCTACCATGATACTTCTTGATGTAGTGCTGCACCATTAGATACAGAGGAGGAGAGATTACATGCCATATAAATCGCCATATAAATTTGGAGTCATCTTTTTCTGGTGAATTCATTCATTCAGGAGTCGTTTCCATGGTAACCGCAGAGTTCTCGGGAGCGTTGCTCTAACCGCCCCATCTCCACATTCTAATTGCTGCCTAAAATTGAGCGGCACATCTAGCATGTCACATGGAGAGGTGCATGAGGCTCTTTGCTGTGTGAACCACATACACTGCTGTTGTAGAGGAGCTATCAATCTCTTCAGCCATTGGCCATATTTCAATATGATCAATGCTTGACTTGGACAGGAGCTCACCGGAGCTGACAACTGGCACCTCACATTTTTCTACTGCTTAAGCTCCTGGTTCTCTTATAGAATATTAGTTCAAAAGTATTGTGGAGCTCCTGCACCTAAATATACACAGTACTGGCACCCAAAATGAGTGCCGGCACCTATTTCAGTCCAAGCCATATAAATCGCCATATATCTACCATGATAATTCTTGATGTAGTGCTGCACCATTGGAGTTGATTTACAGTAGCTCCATCCTCTCATTTGACCTTTAACTCAGGAAACAAAAGCTCAGGCACTAATTGAAGAGAATACTATTTCCCCAATAGCCTTGGTGAGTCAGTCAAATGGAAGTCAAAGTGCAACAGGAAGTCATTTCCTGTCTCAGAGATCTGTTAGAAAAAAGTGATAAAAACAATTTGTCTGCAGCGTTGATCCAGGATGATGGAGTATGTTTGTTTTTAGGACCGACGCATAACTTTAATTTACACACAGTTGCTAGGCATAGAGTAATAGCCAGATGAAACGGACAAGATATAGTTCCTTGTTTTGACAAAATTCTGGATACATTCTGTCAGTTTGGTAATCTGAGATGTTGAATTACGTTTTTACTATATTTACACAACTTCCATGGCCAATCTCTAAAAACAACATTGTCAGTAGTTGGTGTTTTTAGCTAAAACTGGGACAATGACTTCAGTTTTGCATGCAATCAAAGTAGTAAACATCTGCAACGTATTAACTCACGCAATTAAGCAGAAATCACCCTACATCCTGCTGGATGGTGAAAGTTCCCCTGTGGGGACGTGAACCCACAACCCTTCGGTTCAGAGCGAACAGAAAAGGGGGTCCAGTTGGGGCAGCTTGTTTAAAAACCACAGCCCCTGATTTCTCCCTCTCTGCCTGCAGCTTATAAGGGAATGTAGAATAGAGGTGGTGGTGGTGGTGGGGGGGGGGGGGGCTGCTAAATAACATTTGGAGTCATCTTTTTCTGGTGAATTCATTCAGAAGGAGTCATTTCCATGGTAACCGCAGAGTTCTCGGGAGCGTTGCTCTAACCGCCCCATCTCCACATTCTAATTGCTGCCTAGAATTGAGCGGCACATCTAGCATGTCACATGGAGAGGTGCATGAGGCTCTTTGCTGTGTGAACCACATACACTGCTGTTGTAGAGGAGCTATCAATCTCTTCAGCCATTGGCCAAGCACTGAGTATGATGATGGGAAATAACAATGCATATTTCAAATGACCCCAAGCCAAGCAGCTTTTTTTTCTCCTCTCTCTCTCTCTCTCTCTCTCTGACTCTGATTGGTAAACGGCACAATCTGCCTTCCCAGGTTTCTGCCTGTTTGTTAGAGCGCAGAGTGGAGGGTTTTTCTGTTCTCCTTTGTGTGGTTAGGCTGAGCTTCCCAAGGTTCTTGCTGTATAATTTGATGCAGAAAAACAGCTCCTTAGAAATGAAACCGCCTGTTTCACATGGAAATCTCAGACTAATTTCCAACAAAACCGTTGCCTCAAGATAGAGAATCTTCTGCATTTTTTGGCCTGTTTTTCCATATTAACAAGCGTCTCAGATCTGGCTTATGGTCCGTCTAGCATTTGGCCCAACCAATCCATCCAACCAGATAAAAACCTGGATAGCATAAATAATACAATTATCAGATGATATGGCTCTATAAAAAGACCAGAAGGAATATATTATAGTTAATTGCTGCAGAGGCCATGCTATGTTACCCCCCTCTAATTTAGCTGCATTAATTAAACCTGGTACTTAAATGTAAGAGAGATAATTCAGTGTATTTTCATTGTGTATTTCACTATTGCTAAAGGCAGACTGAGACCAAATGCCTGCAGGTCCATTGAATTATAAACTAATACCGCTGTAGCACGTGGTAACCTTTATTGCGTGAATAGATCCAGCCAGGTGGACTGCCTGCCCCACTGTCCTCTCCATGCACTTCACTTACTATCCTACCTCCTTGTTTTCTGATTTAAATGTGATTAAACAGATCTTGAAAAAAAAAAATACAGTCTCCATTTAAATCCTCAATTACAAATGAACAGAGAGGTTAACAGAATGTGATCATTTCACCCTGTGATGCTGCCATGGAGTAATTACGCTCAACTAAGAACAGCCTGGCGTGTGTGTGCGTGTGTGTGTGTGTGTGTGTGTGTGTGTGTGTGTGTGGGGCTCCTCATCTGAACCCAGAAACCCTATCAAACCATGCAGCTTATCTGACAGCCATGGGACTTCATAGTATATCCACGGAACGATATTGGTTTTCACATCTCTGTCTGGTTGTCTACGTATGATGTTAATCACACAGTCTCTCCAGTCAACTCTCTACATTCCAGATTCTAATTTCCAGATTCTACATTCCAGATTCTAATTTCCACAATCTAAAACCCAGATTCTAAATTGCATTCTAGAATCCCTGCTTCCTGCTCCTCTGTGTGGCCCTCTAGTCTGTTCCCTGTGTTGTTCCCCTCTCACTCTCTCCTTCGCCACAGGACCACCGTGTGCTAAACACTGACTTCTGTTCTGTTCTCCCCCTACGGAGCCTCCTGTTACCCTCACAGTGTCCCAGCACACTGACTTGTGTTCTGTTCTCCCCCTACGGAGGCTGCTGTTAATCCGTGCCTCTAGCCTGTTACCCTCACACAGTGTCCCAGCACACTGACGACTTGAAGCCATCACTGTGTCCAAGCGTTCTTCTCTAGTATCTACTCACCTATACACCAGTCATGCTGATGGACTGAATTGTAATATTAATTCTAGTAGAATGCATAAAATACATGCACTGACAGGAAACATTAGCATAGATGTGTTAGGAAGTGGGCCCCTATGCATGCTCTCTCTCTCTCTCACACACAAACACACACACACACACACACACACACACACACACACACACACACACACACACACACATGAACACACACACACACACACACACACACACACACATGAACACACACACACACACACATGAACACACACACGCATATGAACTCACACACGTAGAGGGTGTTGCTGTGAAACATATCCTGGTCTTTCTCTCTCCCTCTGTGTGTAAAGCGTCGGCCCGATGGCTATAGAGGTTTACGGAGTGTGTGTGTGTGGGGTACCACGGATTGATATTCAGGACATGAACATGATTATGCAGGGAGCACATGCAGGGAGAGGAGAGAGAATGTGAGGGACAATCACAGACTGAGGAGGCCGAGGCTGCGTCCCAAATAGTACTCTATTCCCTTTATAGTGCACTACTTTTGGCCAGAGCCCTAATGCAGGTCCCCTTCTAGCTAGTAGCTTCATAGTACAGCCAGTGGCGGCTAAGCCTCCTCCCTATGCTAATGTGTGTACCCCAATCTTTCATCCATTCAATGGTCAAATATATATATATGTTGAAATAACAGTCAGCTTCCTCTGGTCATGATTCTGTCACCCCACCACTGTCTCATTTCTATGATGGAGGATGGGCAGAGAATATTAGCACAAAATCCTACAAAAAACGACACACTTTTCTTATGGCGATACGTACTTGACAAACTCTTTCTACATCTCTAAGCCTGTTGAATTAGTCCCAGTCCACAGTGCATATTATATTTGGTATCTGAGTGCCTGCGTGTGTGAAATACCATTTTAACCAAAGAGACGAACCCAGACCCAGTTTTCCTTGCATGAAAAAGATGAGTGACTGCCCAAGGAGACCCCAAATACTGGGATGTAGTGCTGCCGTAGTGTAGGGGAGGGGTGCTCCCTCACTTTTTTGAATTTGAGAATAAATGGAGCAGGTAAAAAATATTTCTGGAAAATGAATTCTGATAAATTCTAGATCAATTACAGTTGAAGTCAGAAGTTTATATACACCTTAGCCAAATACATTTAAACTCAGTTTTTCACAATTCCTGACATTTAATCCTAGTAAAAAATGTCCTGTCTTAGGTCAGTTAGGATCACCACTTTATTTTAAGAATGTGAAATGTCAGAATAATAGTAGAGAGAATGATTTATTTCAGCTTTTATTTCTTTCATCACATTCCCAGTGGGTCAGAAGTTTACATACACTCAATTAGTATTTGGTAGCATTGCCTTTAAATTGTTTAACTTGGGTCAAACGTTTCGGGTAGCCTTCCACAAGCTTCCCATAATAAATTGGGTGAATTTTGGCCCATTCCTCCTGACAGAGCTGGTGTAACTGAGTCAGGTTTGTAGGCCTCCTTGCTCGCACAAGCTTTTTCAGTTCTGCCCACAAATGTTCTATAGGATTGAGGTCAGGGCTTTGTGATGGCCACTCCAATACCTTGACTTTGTTGTCCTTAACCCTCCCGTTGTCCTAGGGTCAAAATGACCCGCTACTGTGTTGAACAAACTTTATTACATTTTTATATTTTGGGGATCATTTGTGAGAAGGAGGCAGTGAGACTTTAAAGAAAGTATCACTGCCTCCTTCTCACAAATGATCCAAAAAATATAAAAATTAAATAAAGTTGGTTCAACACAGTGGCGGGTCATTTTGACCCTAGGACAACGGGAGGGTTAAGCCATTTTGCCACAACTTTGGAAGTATGCTTGGGGTCATTGTCCATTTGGAAGACTCATTTGCGACCAAGACTTTAACTTCCTGACTGATGTCTTGAGATGTTGCTTCAATATATCCACATAATTTTCCTTCCTCATGATGCCATCTATTTTGTGAAGTGCACCAGTCCCTCCTGCAGCAAAGCACCCCCACAGCATGATGCTGCCACCCCCGTGCTTCACGGTTGGGATGGTGTTCTTCGGCTTGCAAGCATTCCCCTTTTTCCTCCAAACATAACGATGGTCATTATGGCCAAACAGTTCTATTTTTGTTTTGTCAGACCAGAGGACATTTCTCCAAAAAGTACGATATTTGTCCCCATGTGCAGTTGCAAACCGTAGTCTGGCTTTTTTATGGCGGTTTTGGAGCAGTGGCTTCTTCCTTGCTGAGCGGCCTTTCAGGTTATGTCGATATAGGACTCGTTTTACTGTGGATATAGATAATTTTGTACCTGTTTCCTCCATCATCTTCACAAGGTCCTGTTATTCTGGGATTGATTTGCACTTTTCACACCAAAGTACGTTCATCTCTAGGAGACAGAACGCGTCTCCTTCCTGAGCGGTATGAAGGCTGCGTGGTCCCATGGTTTATACTTGCGTACTATTGTTTGTACAGATGAACGTGGTACATTCAGGCGTTTGGAAATTGCTCCCAAGGATGATCCAGACTTGTGGAGGTCTACAATTTCTTTTCTGAGGTCTTGGCTGATTTCTTTTGATTTTCCCATGATGTCAAGCAAAGAGGCACTGAGTTTGGAGGTAGGCCTTGAAATACATCCACAGGTACACCTCCAATTGACTCAAATGTTGTAAATTAGCCTATCAGAAGCTTCTAAAGCCATGACATCATTTTCTGGAATTTTCCAAGCTGTTTAAAGGCACAGTCAACTTAGTGTATGTAAACTTCTGACCCACTGGAATTGTGATACAGTGAATTATAAGCGCAGTGGAACCCAGAACGATATGTTGACCACTTGGTTATGGTGAGGTCCTTTCAGTGCCACTGCGCAGGAGGGGTCCGCGGATCTGTTGATTTAAATGGAAACCGTAAAAGTTTTTTCATGATCTGTTTAATCACATTTAATCAGAAAACGAGGGAGGATAGTAAGTGAAGTGCATGGAGAGGACAGTGGGGGAGTAATTTCCTAGCAGGCAAGATCTGTTGCCTACGCATAATAGTCATACTCATCACATTATTATTATTATTATTATTATTATTATTATTACAAATAGAAGATTATCACTTCTCACAGTGGTGATCGTTTAGTAAAGTTAGATCAAAGCTGAATCAATGTCTCGCAAGATCACATAATGATTAATTTAGTATTATAAAATGCAATTTTACCCCGGTCCCCAGTGAAAGTTGCGACCCTGGTGAAAACATTATAAATATGAAAATAGAATACAGTGTTTCAGAATGTGAGCTACCGCTTGCATGTCAATATCAGACTGGGAAGAATTTTAAGTTCGGAATCTCCACCTATCTGCAAGCATGACCAATGGCATAACACCTTATTGATATGTAAATTCAAACAACCAATAGGAATACATAAAGATGGAATACATAATTCTGCAGTGTCAGGTGGAAAGATAACCAACCCTGTTACACTTTGATTGAAACAAAATAGGCATAGAAGAAAGGCTTATAGTTTAACACCATCTGCTTTAATTCGCTCACGAAACAGTAATTCAAGAAGATTTAAACGCTTATTCCCATGAAACTGATTGAGATCAAGTGATTGGCAGTTTGGACATTTCCCCGCTAAAACGTGATTAATTATCATTCACAAATGGCAGTGATGATGGCCTATTTTGAAATGTGGTTTTTGTGTGGGCATGGGCAGATGTTGCAATTGGAGGATGCATTTTATGCATATTCTATTACATTTTTACATTTACATTTACGTCATTTAGCAGACGCTCTTATCCAGAGCGACTTACAAATTGGTGCATTCATTCACCTTATAGCCAGTGGGATAACCACTTTACAATGTTTTTTTAAATGTTTTTTTCTATGATGATATTCAATAGGCTACAAACTTCGATTGAGAAATGACATGATTATATTTTAAAAATTGTGCTCCCTCGCCTATAAAAATAGCAATACACCACTGCCCAAATAACATATTTCTGAATAAAAAATGTTAATGTGATTTTGCTATACGAAGAATAAATGTCAGATGTTGCATATACTTTACGAACATTTCAAGTGACTATGCTTAGCCAAAAAGGAATATTTTTCATAGAAAATGTCTTTGGACATTTTGCAGGCATTGAATTAGCCAAGCTTAAGCCAAGCAGTCCTGTCAATTCCCTTTGAGAGTCATTCGTTTTGGAGATTTACACTCCTGTAGATGCTTTACATAATGAATGCATTTTGGGGAAGATGTTATGTTGTTGAGGAGGATAAAGATCATTTTCTTTCCTCTCCCTAGTTACCCTGAGAACGGCGTGGTGGAGATGTGTGGCGGTAACGTGCGGCCGCGGGCTCGGACCCTACTCAGGTGGGACCAGCTCACGGTAGGCCTGGTTGTCATGGTGAACTACAACATAGAGATCCCTGAGGAGAGGGGCTTCTGGTTCGACGCTGAGATTACAGCACTCAATGAGATCTCCAGGACCAACAAGGAGGTCCGCATCAAGATCCTGCTGGGGTAAGAGAGAGCTGGGGTAGAGGACATGCTGGGGTAGAGGACATGCTGGGGTAACAGAGAGCTGGGGTAAGAGAGAGCTGTGGTGGGACAGTTTCCGTTGGGAAAGTCTTCTTCTCTTTTCTAGGTCAGATGATTATGCCAGTTATGTAACTTAGATATTTCTGCTTACATAAATTAAGAGGACTTTCTCTCTTTCTGAATAGTCTGGCTGAGTGGGTGTAGAGAACATTCCCTGTGGAGCTCTGATGGACTGATGAACACATTCTCTCTCCCCCTCCCTCCTCTCTTCCCAGAGGGCCAGGGGACGTCATCCCAGACTGTAAGCTGTTGTTTCTGGATGAGATCTATCAGATTGAGAAGATTGGAGCACACTCGCTGTCTGCTGTAGATGGACAGTTCAAACGTAGGCCTCCGCACTCTCATACCAATACTAGTCTACAGCCAATCAGGGCTGAGATGGAGCATACCATAGCCAATCAGGGCTGAGATGGAGCATACCACAACCAATCAGGCCTGAGATAGGTATACCTAGCATACCAGCTGTTCTAGAAGGGCCGTGGTCAAGGGGGTACTTCAGAGAAGTAACTTGAAATTGTTTTAATCAATTAGCCTCAAATTGATACATTTCAAATCCTTCTTATATAGCATTCTGCATATCCAATTTAAATGGAAAGATGTACATGGATTATTGGCATCAATACATGCATGTGTGTTTGTGGTGTGTGTGGGCTTATGGGTATTTTTGTTTTTGTTTTGTTCGCCTGTGTGTGTGTGTGTGCCAATTCTTTGCATATGTATTTGTGCGTCTGTGTGTGTGTGAGTGTGTGCACACCGGTGTGTGTGTATGTGTTTACATGTGCGTCTGTGTGTGTCTGTCTGTGCGCTGGGATGGATCCAGGGAAGAGCGGGCCGGAGTGTAAGCACTGCAAGGCGGACCCCGAGTCGGAGTGCAGGTTCTGCTCGTGCTGTGTGTGCGGAGGGAAGCAGGACGCCCATATGCAGCTGCTGTGTGATGAGTGTAACATGGCCTTCCATATATACTGTCTCAACCCACCACTAGCCACCATACCTGACGACGAGGACTGGTGAGCTCTGACCTGGTCCTCCCAGACCACCTGGGGGTGCTATACTCACACAGGATGACCCTATGGGCTCTGGTCAAATGTAGTGCACTATATAGGGAATAGGCTGCCATTTAGGACGTAGACAGAGACAGACCAATAGACCGGTCATCTGATGGCTGGTGGAGCAAGTATGATGCATGATGTCATTGATTATAATGATTGATGAACATGCATTGTGAGTGTAATAGTCCATTTACATGTTAGTGATGACTGATATAGATATGCCTTTAGCCATATGAATAAGTTCCACATTCTATATTTTCTTTGGGTGCCAGTCCAGATTTCTCTCTCATAGATGTCTTAGTAACACACTGTCCATACAAGAGACACTGACACCAACAGTATACTACCAGTAGTAGTTTCTCTCCTGTCCATATAATACCACCTTACATTGACTTCCTGTATTGATCATGATCTGACAGGGCAGTAGACCAGTAAGGGAGTTATGGTTCTTGTGTTGTGCTTGGCAGGTACTGTCCCACCTGTAAGAACGACACCAGTGAGGTGGTTAAGGCCGGGGAGAAGCTCAAGGCCAGTAAGAAGAAAGCCAAGATGCCCTCGGCCCATACAGAGAGCCAGAGGGACTGGGGCAAGGTGAGACAGACAGGGTCTACAACACTAACCCCTCGGCCCATACAGAGAGCCAGAGGGACTGGGGCAAGGTGAGACAGACTGGGTCTACAACACTAACCCCTCGGCCCATACAGAGAGCCAGAGGGACTGGGGCAAGGTGAGACAGACAGGGTCTACAACACTAACCCCTCGGCCCATACAGAGAGCCAGAGGGACTGGGGCAAGGTGAGACAGACAGGGTCTACAACACTAACCCCTCGGCCCATACAGAGAGCCAGAGGGACTGGGGCAAGGTGAGACAGACAGGGTCTACAACACTAACCCCTCGGCCCATACAGAGAGCCAGAGGGACTGGGGCAAGGTGAGACAGACAGGGTCTACAACACTAACCCCTCGGCCCATACAGAGAGCCAGAGGGACTGGGGCAAGGTGAGACAGACAGGGTCTACAACACTAACCCCTCGGCCCATACAGAGAGCCAGAGGGACTGGGGCAAGGTGAGACAGACACGAAGGTTGTGTCCCAAATGGCACCCTATTCCCTACATAGTTCACTACTTTTGAAAAAAGACGCTATGTAGGGAATAGGCTTAGGCTGCATGCCATTTGGGATGCAGCCTAAGATTTTCTAATGACAAGGGTCACACCAGGGGGTTGGGGCCAATTCCATTTCAATTCAGTAAGTAAGTAAACGTATTGATTTTCAGTGTCAGCAGAATTTTAATGGAGTTGATCCCAACCCTGGGTCAGATCGGGTCATGGGCATTGGCAGAATCACTATTTGTGGTTATCAAAATTCTAGAGGGGGAACTGGGGAGAGAATTTGGAATTTGAAACGATTCTTCGAATTTGTTCTCTGCTTGTCAAGTACTCTAGCTAAACTGTGTGGGGTGACTTAATTAGTTTGACTCAATGTATATTTCAACGGAAGAAAGAGGAGATATCTTGGCCTGGACTGGAGCTCATATTTTAATGCCTCACTCAGAAGGAAGACCTACTTGGTTGTTTTGGCAGCAGACAGAATGAGTGAGACACACACACACACACACACACACAGGGTGGCAGACAGAACTGTCATTGTCTAGCGCTTGGTGCTGCTAACAGAAGCCGTTGGCCTGTTGAGTCACACAGTGTTAGCAGAACAAAGTAGATGTCTTGTTCACGGCTTGGTAGCAGAGTTACTGAGTGCTCCTGAAGGAGTCAATTGGCAGCAGGTAGCAGTGGCCAAGCTTTGGCATGTTCATTATTCACCAAATGTGAAGAAAACGGACTGAGACCGGGATGACTGCCGTTTTATGTACAATGGCGCCGGAGGGGATGGCTGCCGTTTTATGGACTCTAAACCAACCGTGTGTGTTTTTTCGCATTGTTTGTAACTTATTTAGTACATAATGTTGCTGCTACCGTCTCTTATGACCGAAAAGAGCTTCTGGACATCAGAACAGCGATTACTCACCTTGAGCTGGACTAATAATTTTTATTTTATGAGTCGGACGAGAGGGATTTGCTCCAGACACCCGACAGGGCCCTCATCCCCGTCATTCGCAGTAGAAAGAAAAGGAAATATCGCAGAAGGAGATCGGGGTGCCTGGTAAGGAGCCGGCGACGAGTGGCTAATCTGCCTTTGCCATCGATACTATTGGCCAACTTACTTGATAATAAAATGGACGAACTACAGGCACGAATATCCTACCAACGGGATATTAAAAACGGTAATATCTTATGTTTCACCGAGTCGTGGCTGAACGATGACATGAATAACATACAGCTGGCGGGTTATACACTGTATCGGCAGGATAGAACAGCAGCCTCTGGTAAGACAAGGGGTGGCGGTCTATGTATATTTGTAAACAACAGCTGGTGCATGATATGTAAGGAAGTCTCTAGGTTTTGCTCGCCTGAGGTAGAGTATCACATGATAAGCTGTAGACCACACTATCTACCAAGAGAGTTTTCATCTATATTCTTCGTAGCTGTCTATTTACCACCGCAAACCGATGCTGGCAGTAAGACCGCACTCAATTAACTGTATACGGCCATAAGCAAACAGGAAAACGCTCATCCAGAGGTGGCGCTCCTAGTGGCCGGGGACTTTAATGCAGGGAAACTTACATCCGTTTTACCTCATTTCTACCAGCATGTTAAATGTGCAACCAGAGGGGAAAAAACCTCTAGACCACCTTTACTCCACACACAGAGACGCATACAAAGCTCTCCCTCGCCCTCCATTTGGCAAATCTGACCATAATTCTATCCTCCTGATTCCTGCTTACAAGCTAAAACTAAAGCAGGAAGCACCAGTGACTCGGTCAATACAAAAGTGGTCAGATGAAGCAGATGCTAAGCTACAGGACTGTTTTGCTAGCACAGACTGGAATATGTTCCGGGATTCTTCCGATGGCATTGAGGAGTACACCACATCAGTCACTGGCTTCATCAATAAGTGCATCGATGACGTCGTCCCCACAGTGACTGTACTTACATACCCCAACCAGAAGCCATGGATTACAGGCAACATCCGCACTGAGCTAAACGGTAGAGCTGCCGCTTTCAAGGAGTGGGACTCTAACCTGGAAGCTTATAAGAAATCCCGCTATGCCCTCCAACGAACCATCAAACAGGCAAAGCGTCAATACAGGACTAAGATTGAATCGTACTACACCGGCTCTGATGCTCGTCGGATGTGGAAGGGCTTGCAAACAATTACAGACTACAAAGGGAAGCACAGCCGCGAGCTGCCCAGTGACACGAGCCTACCAGACGAGCTAAATTACTTCTATGCTCGCTTCGAGGAAAGTAACACTGAAACATGCATGAGAGCATCAGCTGTTCCGGACGACTGTGTGATCACGCTCTCCAAAGCCGATGCAAGTAAGACCTTTAAACAGGTCAACATTCACAAGGCCGCAGGGCCAGATGGATTACCAGGACATGTACTCCGAGCATGCGCTGACCCACTGGCAAGTGTCTTCACTGACATTTTCAACCTCTCCCTGTCTGAGTCTGTAATACCAACATGTTTCAAGCAGACCACCATAGTCCCTGTGCCCACTAAGATAACCTGCCTAAATGACTACCGACCCGTAGCACACGCGTCTGTAGCCATGAAGTTGAAAGCCTGGTCAACTTTGAAAGCCTGGTCATGGCTCACATCAACACCATTATCCCAGAAACCCTAGACCCAACAGATCCACAGATGATGCAATCTCAATTGTGCTCCACAATGCCCTTTCACACCTGGACAAAAGGAACACTTATGTGAGAATGCTATTCATTGACTACAGCTCAGCGTTCAACATCATAGTGCCCTCAAAGCTCATCAGTAAGCTAAGGACCCTGGGACTAAACACCTCCCTCTGCAACTGGATCCTGGACATCCTGACGGGCCGCCCCCAGGTGGTAAGGGAAGGTAACAACACATCCACCACGTTGATCCTCAACACGGGGGCCCCTCAGGGGTGCGTGCTCATTCCCCTCCTGTACTCCCTGTTCACTCATGACTGCATGGCCAGGCACGACTCCAGCACCATCATTAAGTTTGCCGATGACACAACAGTGGTAGGCCTGATCACCGACAACGACGAGACAGCCTATAGGGAGGAGGTCAGAGACCTGGCCATGTGGTGCCAGGACAACAACCTCTCCCTCAACGTGATCAAGAAAAAGGAGATGATTGTGGACTACAGGAAAAAGAAGAGGACCCCATTCTCATCGACGGGGCTGTAGTGGAGCAGGATGAGAGCTTCAGGTTCCTTGGTGTCCACATCACCAACAAACTAACATGGTCCAAGCACACCAAGACAGTCGTGAAGAGGGCACGACAAAACCTATTCCCCCTAAGGAGACTGAAAAGATTTGGCATGAGTCCTCAGATCCTCAAAAGGTTCTACAGCTGCACCGTCGAGAGCATCCTGACTGGTTGCATCACTGCCTGGTATGGCAACTGCTCGGCCTCCGACCGCAAGGCACTACAGTACATCACTGGGGCCAAGCTTCCTGCCATCCAGGACCTCTATACCAGGTGGTGTCAGAGGAAGGTCCTAAAAATTGTCAGACTCCAGCCGCCACCCTAGTCATAGACTGTTCTCTCTGCTACCGCACGGCAAGCGGTACCGGAGCGCCAAGTCTAGGTCCAAGAGGCTTCTAAACAGCTTCTACGCCCAAGCCATAAGAATCCTGAAGATCTAATGAAAGGGCTACCCAGAGTATTTGCATTGCCCCCCCTTTACGCTGCTGCTACTCTCTGTTTATTATCTATGCATAGTCACTTTAATAACTCTACCTACATGTACATATTACCTCGACTAACCGATGCCCCCGCACATTGACTCGGTACCGGTACCTCCTGTATATAGCCTCGCTATTGTTAGTTTTACTGCTGCTCTTTAATTATTTGTTACTTTTATTTCGTATTATTTTATATAGTATTTTTTATTTTTGTAAAAAAAAATTGGGGGGGTATTCTTTCTTAAAACCGCATTGTTGGTTAAGGGCTTGTAAGTAAGCATTTCACTGTAAGGTCTACACCTGTTGTGTTTGGCGCATGTGACAAATAAAAGTTGATTTGATTTGATTGACTACCTGGACTTGTCCATTAAGAACCACTCATTTTCGTTTTCCGTTGTACAATGTTTTGCGACAGTATGCTCTACTGAACACAACCCAGGCACAGTGTGCCCTGCTGAACAATACTCTGTAGTTTGCAATGAAAACTAAAATGAGTATTATTTCTTATTGGACAAGTCCAGGTTGTGCCTTCCCATTTTACTCAGTAGTCTTCCGTTTGGTGCCTACTGAACATGCCCCAGGCCCACAGTAAGGGCCTCTCTGCTCTCACTAAGAGGTGTGTTATTCTGTGTTGGCTAACTCCCTCTCACGCTGTGAGGCGATGGTAACAATGCCATCTAAAATGTTTTGCTACAATGTGCCCTACTGAACACAACCCAGGCCCAGGTAATACAGACAGGCCATCAGTAAAGGCGTCTCTGACTAAGCTACAGTGTTGGCTGTCTCCCTCTCACACTGTGAGGCGATGGTAACAACGCTATTTAAAATGACTCAGCAGAGTGAAGTTATTTTCCTGGAACCAAACTAGGGGAAAATAACTAACCCCATTGTTTCCCAGAAATACCCCATGGATGCGTCCCAAACGGGACCCTATTCCCTATGTAGTGCACTACTTTTGATCAGGGCCCATAGGGTTCTGGTCAAAAGTAGTGCACTATAAAGGAAATTTGGTGCCATTTGGAACGCATAGAATGCTAATTGAAAACAGCCTATTCTGTACATTAGTATGTATTTATGTGATAAACCTAAAAAAAATGTGACTCATAGTTTGGTAATGTTATGAGAAAGAAAGACTGAGGAATGAATCAAATTGTCCCAACACTTTAAAAAACATTTCCAGCCCGGAAAATGGATTATTGTTATGCATACAATGCTATTCAGGTCTGATTACGCTATATGGTAGCTAAAGCATCTAGTAGGAAGTCCTTGGTTTATGGAATGTGTGTGTGGTCCAACATGTGAAAACATGCTAGCTAAAGCATGCATGAATAAGTCCTTCTCCTGAATGCCATGTTGATGTTGTTACAGGGTATGGCCTGTGTGGGGCGCACTAAGGAATGTACCATCGTCCCCTCCAACCATTACGGGCCTGTACCTGGGGTTCCCGTGGGAACAACATGGAAGTTCCGCGTTCAGGTGAGCCAATAGGAACAAGGTTTGGTACCATGCGACCATATGACCATACAGGTGGAGTGATACAGGTTAGGTGATTACTCACAAACTCGGAGAGAACAGAGAAAATTTAATATTTTCAAATCATGAAGATGTTGAATCTGAAAATATAGTTATTTTCAGTTAACTTTAGAGGTTCATAGTTTTCAAATCTGATATTCTGACACTAAGGATTTGTTTACATAGCCAGTATCACATCTATCACACCATCATTCCTCCCCTCTCTCTTTCTCATATCACCCATCCTGACTCTCACCCTCTCCTGTTCACGCCATCTCTCCTGTTCACTCCATCTCTCCTGTTCACTCCATCTCTCCTGTTCACTCCATCTCTCTAACTTCTCCCTTCCTGTGTTCCAAGGTGAGCGAGGCGGGAGTGCACAGGCCCCACGTGGGAGGTATCCACGGCCGCAGTAACGACGGCTCCTATTCGCTGGTGCTGGCTGGGGGCTTCGAAGATGAAGTGGTGGGTGTCTTTCTTTTTTGTTGTTGATGTCTGTTTTTTGTTGTTGATGTCCGTTGTTTGAGCTAAGCAATCTAGGAGCGTGGGAGCGTAGGAGAGAAGAGAGGTGGAGGGAGATCGCTGTCTTTCTCCCTATGTTTTTCCTGCTCTCGCTTCCTCTGTCTGGCAAGACCCTCTTTGATGCCCCATGCTTTTTGCTCTGGCCCTTTTAGCATGGTAGACACCGGAGGAGGGTCGACGGGGGGAGGATGGTAGTCTACCCATCTGTCTGGTTCTCACACAGCTGTAGTCTGTCTATCTATCTCTTTCGCCCCTCTCCTTCTCTCCCTCTAACGCGTTTGACTTTCTTCGAGGATGTTCACTGTACAGCATAGCTCTGGAGAGTGCATTAATGGCACTATGATTAATGTTTTCACATTAGCTAGGTTTCCATCCAATTGGCGACAGATTTTCATGTGAAAAAAATCAGTGAGTGATGACGTAGTGCACACAAAATACGGTATGACTTTACTCGCATTAAAAACTGTGGATGGAAACGTGGTTTATGACTTATTTGGAGGAGGGATTTTGATGATATTTTGACTGGATTTCGAATTACATCTATGTTGATTTAGCTGTGCGCCTCGGGTTGTCATATAAGAGATTTCCACTTACTCAGCAAAGAATGACAAGGATAAGCTAGTATGTGCAGGGGCAGTATTTTTTAAGAGGTGTGTGTGTGTGTGTGTGTGTGTGTGTGTCTCCTTTTAACCCTCTGACCTCCACCATGACCCCTCAGGACAGGGGAGATGAGTTCACCTACACAGGCAGTGGAGGTCGCGACCTTTCAGGGAACAAGCGCATCGGGGAGCATTCCTTTGACCAGACCCTGACCCACTATAACAGGTACAGTAAACAAACAAACAAAGTACTGTACCACCTGACCTGTTTCTCTCCCTGACATTTCAAATAGATACCTTTTTTCAGTATCAGACCTTTTTTGGTCATCCCACACCAAAAACATCAACACACAATTATAACACAGATACATTATTTGACTGGTTTCGGAACATGCACTAGTTCTAGTCATTAACCCTTGACCTCTCAGGGCCCTGGCGCTGAACTGCGACGCCCCCATCAACGACAAGGACGGGGCGGAATCCAGGAACTGGCGTGCGGGGAAGCCGGTGAGGGTGGTGCGGAGCTCCAAAGGCCGACGCATCAGCAAGTACGCTCCGGAGGAGGGCAACCGCTACGATGGCATCTACAAGGTACACTAGCTAGGACACAAACCATATAATTATTAGAAAACACAAACTCCCCAAGACCACGGCAGTTTGACTGGTACATTCAATATGGCCGCCGGTTCACCCATAATGTAATGTTGACTTGAATGGGAATGTCCGTTCTAGTCACTCTACACAAACACCCTGATTAACTCAATGTCCATACTAGCACAGTACTTAGAATGCATGTCCTATACATGTCTTCATTCTAAGTAGTATGCTAGCTAGTTTGGATATTGGAACGGAGCCGCCTGGCTGCCTCTCAGGAACATAGACTGGACCCGGTCCTTTTGGACCCTGTATGCATATACTTAGTCTCTTTTAGTCCCTTGTGACAAAATAAAAAAATGAATTACAAATATAATACAAACAGTCAAAATAAATTGGGTGCAGATATCAGAGGGGCTGGTCCTCATTATGAGTCATGCCTTTTGAACACATCTTGATTTCCCCAGATAGACCAGGCCAGCACGGTAATCACAACCCACGTGGTTTCAGAGATGTTGCATCTCAAACAAGACAAGATGAGGAAATAAATGTAATTTTTTTAGATGAATCCCTGATTACCACAAATCGAATCACATTTTTTGTACTGTTCCTGTCTCACCATAAACTCCTATAAGTTACATTTTAGTCATTTAGCAGACGCTCTTATCCAGAGCGACTTACAGTTAGTGAGTGCATACATTTTCATAGTTAGACAGTATCAACATCAATGGGGAATCATGTGCTCATAGAATTATATAATTACTAGAACGGACATTCCCAAGTCTGTTCTGTGGATGGTCAGTCATTCTATTTCTGTGTGTCTCTCAGGTGGTGAAGTACTGGCCAGAGAAAGGGAAGTGTGGTTTCCTGGTGTGGAGGTACCTGCTGCGGAGGGATGATCTGGAGCCCGCTCCCTGGACACCTGAGGGCCTGGAGCGCATCCAGACACTGGGCCTGGCTGTGCAGGTGAGGGTTTACGGTGCTGTTTTATATGACATTATGACCGTATGAGAGGACGGGTGTTTGGTTATGACTGCTGTTTCAGTGGCGGTCTCTTTTATGTCTCAATTGAATGTATTAACTGAATGTAAAACCGACCAGCCTCTCCATTGTGTGTAGTTCTGTGTCCTTGGTTTGTTAAATTTGATATTGTCGTCTGTCCGACTTTCTCTGTGTGCTTCTACTACGGTATCCTCTTGGCTATCGTTGTGCATTATGAGTTGGTTATAATGCATTGTAATACTTACCGATGTTTTCATTTGCCTGTCTCTGTGCATCTACTCTACAGTATCCCCCTGGTCGCCATTTTGTTTTCATCTGTCTCTGTGCATCTACTCTACAGTATTCCCCTAGTCGCCATTTTGTTTTCATCTGTCTCTGTGCATCTACTCTACAGGATCCTCCTGGTCGCCATTTTGTTTTCATCTGTCTCTGTGCATCTACTCTACAGTATCCCCCTGGTCGCCATTTTGTTTTCATCTGTCTCTGTGCATCTATTCTACAGTATCCCCCTGGTCGCCATTTTGTTTTCATCGGTCTCTGTGCATCTACTCTACAGTATCCCCCTGGTCGCCATTTTGTTTTCATTTCTCTCTTTGCCTCTACAGTATCCTCCAGGCTACGTGGAGGCCATGGCCAACAAGACCAAGAAGGAGGCTAACGCTCGGCCAGGGTCCACCAGGAGCAAGAAGCACCATGGACGGGGCCGGCCGCGGCTACAACCCCTGGAGAAGAAGGTGAAGAAGGGGGAGGAGGAGGAAGAGATGCCCATGGAGGTTACAGACCAGCCACAGAGCAACGGTAGTCAGAACACTCCCAAGGACAAGGAGACAGGTACCTGTTGAGACACAGCTAGGGATATAGGCCAGAGACGGAAGAGAGATGTGTTTTTACCTTTGTGTGTACAGTTTATATCTTGTGCACTGCTATGTACGCATGGGCGGAATTGCCGCTAGGGAAAGGGGGGACATTTCCAATAGATATAAAACTAGATATGCCAAGGCGTTTCGTGGGTGTTTTTAAAGGTGTCAAATAAAATGTTACCCATATTTGAATAGAAACGATATGTGTACATGCATCTGTAAACAATGTGTGTGTTGGTATGCGTCTCTCAGAGGTGTGTAAGGAGTCGGCGGAGCCTCGAGCCAAGCGTCAGAAGATGGAGGAGTCGTTCCAGCTGACAGAGCAGCAGCAAAGCCTCATAAAGGAAGACCAACCCAACAGAAAGAACTGGGACGAGGCCATGGGACACCTCAAGGAGGGGCCGGTACGTAAAGGTCACGATGCGACATGACATGGCACAACAAGGCACAAACAGCATCTAAACTAACACAACAGCAGCTCACAACTCCGTCACCTTAATGAACTATATACAACCAATATTACACCGACACACAGTTCTGATGTAAGACTAATATTACTGGAACAGTTATGATGTATGTGAAGCTGCGGTTTCCATGGTGATGTCTGTACCTGTACTTCCTGTCTCTTTGTCTTTAGAACTTCCTGAGGAAGGTGGAACAGACGTTCATGTGTGTCTGCTGCCAGGAGCTGGCCTACCAGCCCATCACCACCGTCTGTACACACAATGTGTGCAAGGTTGGTGTCCACAAGCACTGTGTGTGTGTGTGTCGGTTCAAGGTTTCACCTGAATCTGCTGTTTAAATGTAATGATTGTTGTCTGATTGTGGTTTCATGATTTCATACACATGAAGGTCAGGTTTAGAATAAGTAATGACTGTATGGCACTGTACAGTTAAGGAGTTGTGTTGTTCTTTGACCTCTGACTGACTGGCGTTCTCTCTGTCTGTTCCTGGTCCACCCCAGACCTGTCTCCAGCGGTCATTCCGTGCTGAGGTGTACACCTGCCCTGCCTGTCGCCACGACCTGGGGAAGGACTACGTCATGGTCCTAAACAAGACTCTACAGCTGCTGCTGGACCAGTTCTTCCCTGGCTACAGCAAGGGCCGATGAGGACAGACACCTGCACTCACACAAGCAGTTACACACAGACCCATGATGCATACAAACAAACATAGGCATACACACACTTATTCATACATTGGTACATAGTACACACACACACACCCTCCATCTCCTAGGCAGCAGGGACTGACCCCACCTGTTGGACTTGTACTGTCCCCATTTACGTCACCAGCCTGAAGTCATCCAAGCCCCAGGAGAGCCTGGAGCACCATGCCCCTACACCCCCATTTGGTTCCCATCCCTGGGTAACAACACCCCCTAACCCCCCAATGAGTTCCCTCTCTCCCTAGCCTTCCACGTCCCCAGTCCCCAGAACTCATCAGTTCATCGCCATCTACCTGTCCATGTAAGGAACAGCCAGAGAGGATGCTAATGCTAACCATAGCCATGTAGAGAATAATGTATCTGATGCTAATGCTACTTAGCCTCCAATGGGAGGGTGCCTGAGGTCAGCAGCACCTACAGGGGTCAGGGATTACCACCCAGGAGAGGGGGTTGATGGGAAATGTAGTGTACAATGTTAAAGGTTATTTCTTTGTTACTGGTCCATTTGAAGTTTAGACACAAACTGATTCATTCTTTTAAAGGCCCAGTGCAGTCAAAAACGTGATTTTCCTGTTTTATATATATTTCCACACTGAGGTTGAAATAATACTGTGAAATTGTGAAACTTATGATAATGCCCTTTTAGTGTAAGAGCTGTTTGAAAAGAATGCCTGAAATTTCAGCCTGTTTTGGTTGAATGGAGTTTTGGCCTTCCATGGTGACATCACCATGTGGTAAATGAGTTAATAGACCAATAAGAGTTCCAAATCTCTCTGCCAATAACAGCAAATGTTTCGTTTTCCCTTCTGCACTCAGACCACTCCCAGACAGTCCTAGCAAAGTTCTTGCTTGAGAAATTGCCCTTTGCTAAGGAGCTATTTTTGATTATTTTAATTGAAAACGATCACAGTAAGGTATTTGGTTGTAGCCTTGTACGAACCACCCTGGTCTCGTTTCCCTACACAGATATCCAGGATGGTTTGTACGAGACTAGCTTAATTGTTACCCAGAAATGATTTGAATATTGAGATAAAAACAGCTGCATTGGACCTTTTTAAAGATGTATGCCTGTTCCTTTTCTCCTCTCAGTTCCTTTTCTCCTCTCAGTTCCTTTTCTCCTCTCAGTTCCTTGTCTGTCTGTTTTTTTTGTGGTGAAGTCCTTTTCTTTCAAATATTTCAGGATTTCTTTTTTTAAAGACATGCAAATGCAAAATATTTTAAATAATGCTATGGTCTTTAAAGCAGCAAACTGTGATGTGTATTACTTCCTTCCTCCCCACCCCTCAAATAGCTTATATACAAAACAGAAATGTTCTCCTGCATCGACTGGCAAGCTAATAGTGTCCTTCTTTGTGAGCTTCTCTTCGTCCCCCGCCCCTAGGGTTGCAAGATTCCGGTAACTTTCCGAAGTTCCCAGGTTTCTAGAAATCCTGGTTGAAAGATTCACGGAATCAGGGGGGGAGTAAGCAGGAAATCAGGACACCTTCAATAGGGATTTCTGCAAAACCTTTGGGAAAGTTTTGCAACCCTACCTGCCACCCCAGTCTTGTACCCTACCGACCCCTACCGTGGACTACAGTACTAACAGTTCTTTAGACGTCAAGTGGACGCTTCGCTTCAGCATTAATGTTCTCTGTTTTTATTGTACTCGTTGAAAAGAAAATATGTTGAAAAGAAAAAAAGTGATGTCTATAATTTCCTATACTACTACAACGTATGCCATTTTTCTATCATTTTAGTTACCTATTCTATGTTAATCATTAGTTATTTTTGTGGCGATCTTTACCTGCTGCTTTGTCAGCCTGAATGAAGAGTTTCATTGCTTCATATTGTGATCTGAAATTTTATACATGGTATAATAATACTTGATATGTACCTAATTAAATATTTTGATTCCAGAAAACAACTTGCCTGTTCAGTTTCCTTCACATTAGAGGATAGTGGTCTTCTGCTTAGCCTGGTCCCAGTCCTGTTTTGTGCTGCAGACCAGTGTTTCCCAACTCCAGTCCTCGAGTACCCCCAACAGCACGAGTTGTTGTATCCCCGGACAAGCACACCTGATTGAACTGGTCTACTAATCATCAAGCCCTCAATGAGTTGAATCAGGTGAGTTTGTCTGGGGCTACAACAACAATGTGTTCTGTTGGGGGTACTGGAGGACTGGAGTTGGTAAACACTGCTGTAGACAACGACCATAGGTGTTGGCAAGCAGGTATCAACAGATCTGGGACCAGGCTTCCACTGGCCTCACCTGTAACATTGGTTTCAGTCTCAATATGGGCCTCAGTATGGGCCTTCCTGTTTTGATCTAAGACCCAAGCAAAAGGACAGTGGAAGGAGATCTGTCTATTTAGGTACGGTATGAAGAGGCTCGTCTCTCTATACATTACTTAAGTAATGTAGGAGTCAGAGAATGATTATGTATAGGGGGCCTCCTTTTACACCCAAATCAACTACCTACTGAGCTGCTAAGTAGAACCGGGTCTTGTACCTACTGAGCTGATTAGAGCTGGGTCCTGTACCTACTACCTACTGAGCTGATTAGTAGAGCCGGGTCCTGTACCTACTACCTTCTGAGCTGATTAGTAGAGCCGGGTCTTGTACCTACTACCTACTGAGCTGATTAGTAGAGCCGGGTCTTGTACCTACTACCTACTGAGCTGATGAGTAGAGCCGGGTCCTGTACCTACTACCTACTGAGCTGATGAGTAGAGCCGGGTCCTGTACCTACTGAGCTGATTAGTAGAGCCGGGTCCTGTACCTACTACCTACTGAGCTGATTAGTAGAGCCGGGTCCTGTACCTACTACCTACTGAGCTGATTAGTAGAGCCGGGTCCTGTACCTACTACCTACTGAGCTGATAAGAAGAGCCGGGTGCTGTACCTACTGAGCTGATTAGTAGAGCCGGGTGCTGTGCTATGGCCTGTAAATATTGCTGCGCTGATCTTGCATTCTGGAATGTGAGATGTGTGCTATGCCACTGCAACTTTTCTGTTATAAAACCAGGTAGAGAGAACCCCATAGAGATTAGAAGGCCACTGTCTGACTGACTTAAAGGCACTGCATTGTCAATCTGCTGTCTGCATTGGCCATGTGATATTGCCTCTGCAGAAGTCAGGGCATTCATACTTTTTGGGCTTCGCCGAGCTGTTGTGAAGGAAGTCGTCAAGGAAGTGAGTTTTTGTTTATACAGGACCTCCCGCCCTCACCTACAGTCAAACAATCATGTAAATGCGAAGCTATATAGAGCCCTCTGCATTGTTAAAACATTTGAGAGGCGCCCGGCGATGCGGTACGGACCTCAATTTGGCCTCTGGAGGCTCCGCAATTGCGTCACACCATCCATACGGCGCATCCGACCACATTTCGGATCAAGCATAAATTGCAGCCAGGTTGTCTTTAGTGTAGAGAGGATTTAGTTCACCCCTGGATTCTGCATGTGAAACCAATGCCATACATACAAAATGGTATAGGTTATAACAGAACAGGGAATATCCTGGTGGTTGGCGTCATGAAGGATGGAGCGTTCCCTGATGGTGAGCAGCGTTTTATAACTGACCTATTTCGCTTACTCTGCAAACATTACTAGGACTGCAGTCCTATTCTCTACTCTTCTCCAGAAGTGTGCACAACTCCCACCCCATGCATTTAAATGCATTGGATTGGTGCAAGCATGGCTGGAGGGTGTTTACACCAGGGGTGTCAAACGTCCGGCCCGTGGGCCGGATCAGGCCCGCAAATGGGTTTAATCCGGCCCGCGAGATGATTTTGAAAAAAACAAAACAAAAAAAACAAAACAAAAATAAAAAATTGTAAAGTTTAAAAATGCGCTGCAATTTTTCAATAAAATAAACTGCTGTTCCAATTGCGTCCACTGGATGGCGCAATAGCAATTGTGTTAAGCAAGCAAACTGTTTATACCGGGGCAGAGCAAGTAGGTCAAGCACGTGCAGCCAATGAGCTACTTTGTTTTGCCCGCGCTATTTATTACGGCTTCTACTTTTAACATTATGTGCTTTGGCACCCTCATTGCCCCAATATGTCTCTGTCAAAAAAGAGAAAAGTGGACGCAGAGTGTTCCAAGAAAAATTGTCATCCTATTTATTCACGGAATTGAATGGGAAGGCTGTATGTTTGGTGTGTTCAGAGCATGTTGCAGTGCTGAAAGAATATAACCTTCGTCGCCACTATGTGAGTCTTCATGCCGACAAATATGACAACTTTCAAGGACAGCGGAGATGAGAGAAGGTGAATGAACTGTTGGCGGGTCTGAAGAAACAGCAGTCTGTGTTTACTCACAGCCGAGACATCAGTGACGCTGCAGTGAAAGCTAGCTACCTCATTGCTAATGAAATCGCAGTGGCTTCAAAACCATTTAGTGAGGGTGAATTTGTAAAAACATGCATGATGAAGGCAGCGGAGATTGTGTGCCCTGAAAAGCGGCAGGCTTTTGCAAATATCAGCCTGACAAGAAACACAGTTGCAGACAGGATTTCCGATCTTTCAGTGGATTTGGACAGCCAGTTGAAGCAAAAAGTAAAGTCATTTATTGCGTTTTCGGTTGCAATTGATGAAAGCACGGACATTACAGATGTTGCACAACTGGCCATTTTCATCCGCGGAGTTGATGACACATTGACCGTCACCGAGGAGTTCGTGGAGTTGGTGCCGATGACAGATACAACGACAGCAGCTGATATTTTTACCGCACTCGTCGGCGCGCTGGACAGGGTCGGAGTGGACTGGTCCCGCGCTGTCAGCCTGGCTACAGATGGTGCGCCCTCAATGATCGGGAAAAAAGCAGGCGTTGTGACAGAGTTCAGAGAGAAAGTGCAATCTGCAAATGGAGGACGTGATTTTTTGACTTTTCACTGTATTTTGCACCAGGAGGCTTTGTGTTGCAAGTCATTAAAGATGGATAACGTCATGAAGGTGGTCATCCAAACTGTTAATTTCATCCGATCCAGAAGCCTGAATCACCGTCAGTTTGACAGCCTTCTCAGAGAGAAAGACCACATCTATGGCCTGCCATACCACACTGAGGTAAGATGGTTAAAGCTGAGGTGCTGTGCTGAGGCGTTTCTTTGATTTACGAGAAGAAATTGAACAGTTCATGGAAGAAAAGGGCAAACCAGTGTTAGAATTTCATTCCGCAGAATGGATGCAGGACCTTGCATTTATGGTGGATGTTACAGAGCACCTGAATAACTTGAACAAACAGCTGCAAGGGCGCAACAAAGTTGTCACGCAGTATTATGACAGCATACGTTCTTTCAAGTTGAAGCTGTCATTGTGGGAGACGCAACTTGCCGGTGGTGATGCAGCTCACTTCCCCTGTCTGAAAAATGTGTGCGCAACCCAACGTGGCAGACATGAAGCGGTTCAAAGATAAAATAACGGGACTGTTACGGGAGTTTGAGCAACGCTTTCAGATTTATGTTTATATGTTTTTATGTTGATGTGCTATTGTTTTTAATTGTTTTTATTTTATTTGTATATTTAACCTATTCTTGACTCTGTGGTTCTTGCACTTGTTTGGGGAACAGGATTTCATTATTTTTTATCTACATTTCTGCCTGAGAAATGACACCCTGATATAGTTCTGTGATCTGTGATATACTTCTGTGAATCACTGAGGCATTGTGTGTTCTTTGTCCTCAGAACTTTCAAATAACTTGAGGTGTTTTATGATTAATAGTGATGTTGTGCTTTTGGACACTGTCCTCAGGCTCCAGCTTTATGTTTATATGTTTTTATGTTGATGTGCTATTGTTTTTAATTGATTTATTTTTATTTGTATATTTAACCTATTCTTGACTCTGTGGTTCTTGCACTTGTTTGGGGAACAGGATTTCATTCTTTTTATCTACATTTCTGCCTGAGAAATGACACCCTGATATAGTTCTGTGATTGAAACAGTTCTGTTAATCACTGAGGCATTGTGTTTGTGTTCTTTTTCTTTAGAATTTTCAAATTAACTTGACGTGTTTTATGATTAATAGTGATGTTGTGCTTGTACTATTTTGGACACACTGTCCTCAGGCTCCAGCTTTATGTTGTATGTTGATCGTATTAAAACAAAGAAAACAATCTGAAGTTGTTGTTTTTAAGTTATATATACCATGATTTTTCCGGTCCGGCCCACTTGGGAATAGATTTTCCTCCATGTGGCCCCTGAGCTAAAATGAGTTTGACACCCCTGGTTTACACCATGTTCCTCACACCAGTCCATTGCTTTTAAATCCACGAAGGGGAGTGTACGAGTGCAAAGGGTAGAAAAGAGGTGTGCAGGCAGCCATAGAATCCAGAACGCACCCATGAATTCAATCAATTGAAGATCAGGGAAACTAGCATTGCTAGTTCTCGCAATGTTCACACGTAACGTATCTGAGCTGAACACTGTTTATTCTGTCACAACTCCGCAATCTGTTCCTACTGTATCATGGCTTTGCAGAAATACTGACGCGTCAGTAACTAGTGTACCCTCGTGGTAAATGTCTAAAACAAGAACCAGTGCATCCTTGCCCTGAGACACAGCTACAGACTGGCTGCCACAGCCGTCTTCAACCGTGCCCCATGCAAACAGGCCACATACGGTGTCATGATGAGATTGGCATTTCTTACTTTTATTGTCACAGAAGCACAATAGGTACCACTATGCAAGGTGAACACCAAACTTATAAACCATTTTGAAAAACAAAAAACAAAAAGTTAAAAGGAATGCAAGTCCAAATATCCCATCAGACATCACAACAAATGTATCCAAAAACAATGCTACAATAATGGTCAGGTATACACGAGACAGAAAAGCAAAAGCTCTTTGGATTTTTCTTCTTCCTCTTTTTTAGCTTTGTACCAACTCACCCATCATATTACTTGATATTTATCGCAAATGCAGCCAAACCAGTCACACAAAACAGCATTCACCTGTGCTCTCCAACACACACTGCTAGTCTAAAGAGCTATCCAGCCATGAAGTACCAATATTGGGGTGGTTTTTGCTTAAAATAAACATTTACACACATTGTTACAACATTTTCAGAGGATTGAGTGCTTTTATATCAAACTTATTCTAAGCAAAACAATTGTCAGATTAAAAGGTGGGGTTGACATTGTTAAAAAAAAAAAAAACCTTAGCCAAAGAAATAAAAGCTTATATTGAATATAGCCAATTAAATGAAAGCTTATGCTTTTATTTCAATGGCTATATAAGGTATATCTTAGCCAATCAAATTAAAAGTTGGGAGTACCCAAGCGTAAACCTGATGACCTGTTTTTGTACATTCAGAAATAACGACAAATCCATCTTTCTAGGAACAAAAAATAGCAACAATAGACAATTGATTGATGATAGTTATGAGAATTGCAATATGCTCAAAGTCCTTAAAAACATGGTTCCCTCTGACATGTTGGAACACAATACCAATGAAACCTAAATGAAGAATTTAACAAAGGGATAAAAGATAGAGATAAATATCAGCCAAGCTGTGAAACTGGGGGATACATATCTAAACTAATCATCCGCTTCCTTTGACACAAAAGCATGGAAGGCTGTAAGCACTTGGGTCGGGTGGTGGATTGGCTGGGGTACAGGAGGGTAGGAGGTTGGGTAGGGGGCAGGGGTTAGCCTGGATCCAAACTGAAATTGCTCCCTTTCACAACTGCTTCCCTTTACAATTGTGGTCATCACAGTCTGGCTTTCAGACTTGAGTCTGGCTGAACCATCTCTTCATTGAAACTGTTAGTGAGACAACAGTGAAAACAGCACAGTTTTCATTATTTGGGATACAGGCTAGGCAGGGCTCAGAGGGCTCTTCCAGAAAGCAGGCTCAATGTGTTACTTAGACAACTAACTGTCATAACTAAACGTTCTGAATTCATTTAATCTTTCCTAGAAATATAGACTTTGTATGACTGACTTGACAACCAACAAACCCATATTGAAGTTAAGCTTTTCTAAAATTAGCTGGCTAAATTGATGATGTTGCTTCCTGGAACGCCCCACAGGGGTCAGAGCTAATCCTCGTCGGAGGAAGAGTCCCTGTCGAAGTTGTAGGCCATGAAGAAAACGTCAGGTCGAGGTGGGACAACGGCATGGCCCGGTTTCACTATCTCAAAGCCCAGAAAGCTGAATGTGCGCACAAGTTTAGCTGTGGAGAGAAACACGTATTATAAATAACATCAAAACAATATGACCTTTGTCAATATAGTTGTTGGACTTCCTTGACTTATTCCTTTTAGTTCCTAGTGAGCAAACGATCCCCCAAACAGTGATTGGACAAAAATCGGCAGTTGGGATGTGCTTCTCTATTGAAAGTGTGGGTTTGGTGTATGAATATGTTTTTAAAATAGGGCTGTTATACGTACCACGATCATCTCTGTTCTTGTAAAAGCAGACGAACACGCGGGCAACTTTAAGATGTTCTTCCGCATACCCCAAAAGAGCCGCAAAACTGTCGAGAGAGGTTTACTTGGATGACATGAGATTAAACACCATTTGTAAGATTTGCACCACCCCACCCTGACCTCTCCCTCAGTCACACACACAGTCCTCTCCTCGGGGAGCGAGTCCAAAGGTATCAATGTTTCCGTTAGCCGGTAATAGCCGGATAAATAAAATTGACACCAGCCAATTGTCCAGGAGAAGAAGAAGAAATCCCATTGTGAAATAATGTTTTTTAGCCTCTTCATTGATGGAAATACCAGTCCATGGAAATACATTTGACTGGTCATACTTATCCGTCTATAGGTTCATTTGCAGAATTTAGTGGAATTAAACTGTCCCCAAATTAATACAGTTGGTTCAGAGTTCGTTTTGATATTTCAACCTGCGTGTCCTGATCGAGTCTGGTGTGTGCTCAACATGAAATCAAAATCAACAAAACAAAATCAACGTGCGCGAGCGGTGTGGTCAGCATGTTATTCTGCAAAGTGCACATCAGAATTTGGTAAGAAGGACCACATATCGTTGCATCCTCGACTTGCATGCTCTGTTCTTTCATGTTCTGTTAATATTAATTGCCATAATCTAAATGTGATTTCTGTCATTCTGAGCACCGTGGGTGGACGCCAATGCATATGGGCCCGGTAAATTTCTCAAATGTCCAGTAAATTAAAATGTTGCCGATCAAATTTCCAGGGTCACATTTTCCTAAAAGAAACCCTGATAGGCATCTCCACATACAGAGCGCCTCCCCCTCCCCACCACGCTCTCTGTCCTCACCTTTCTTTGCTGCCCTCAGGGAGGGGGTCTATGGGTATCTCCACATAGAGAGCATTCCTGCTCAGCACCGCATCCCAGTGGATCACCTTGGAAACGGTGAGGCGGCTCTGGAAGTGGAGTATCCCGGGGCGACCGTTCCCCGCCGGCTCCTCTGTCACCGTCAAGTCCTGGAAAAACAATATGGAAGGAAAGAGGGAACGTTAATGATTAAAAACAACTCCTTGGACAACTTAATGGTTGTGTTCACTAGAGCACACTGTTTCAATAGAAAGGCAATATCTGTGTTGTTATCGGACAAGTTCAGGCAGTACCTCACTATATGCAAAGTTTTTTTTTACTGGGTGGGTCACCATTGAAACCAGGGTTTCATTTGCAAGGGAGCCCTGTGAACATCAACATACAATATATAATAAATAAATAAACACAAGATTAATCAAAACAAACACATCACCTCCCTTAAACTCAATCTAAACTGTCCAATGGAGACCAGCAAGTCTAATTTCAAGGTGGCCTGAAGGAACCAGCCAGTCCAGAGAGTGGTTCTGAAAATTACTCCAGTATTAACTGGAGATCCAGCAATTTTCAGAACTGCTCTCTGGACTGGCTGGTTCTGAAGGTCCCGCGGGTCTCCATTGACCTGGGGGGAAATTATTTTAGTTTTTATGCCCCCAGCTCATGGAATAGCCTTCCAAGAAGGGCTTGGTAGAGTTTGCGGTCAAACAAATAATTACTAATGAATCATAGTCAGTAGAGGGTGACGGGACCTGTCCTATGCAGTACAGTACCAGCATGCAACTGTCGTTTGTACTCTGTCGGTCAGCCTGCACACTGCCATAGGACATGGTAGTATAGTAGGACTCCATAGCGGAGAGAGAGTGAGCCTGCATGTCTTTGTGTTGTGTTGTACAGCCGCTTCTATTACTGTACACAGATAGCTAACAGAACCATAATAGGATGTGGCATCACCATGAAAACAAGAGTTCCTCTCTCATTCCTTCCTGAAATGTCAAGTTTGTTTTGAACGCCGAGTAAACAACAATGACCTGCGTGTAGTTGTTGCCTGCTTTGTTTTGTATTGGTGTTCTTGTATGTGTTCCAAAATGGCACCCTATTCCTTATATAGGGCTCTGGTCAAAAGTAGTGCACTATAAACCCTTCCAAAAAAGACTGCAGTCAGAGTAGAGTATAACTGCAGTACACGGCAGTATAACTGAAGTATTCTGCAAATACTGCATTCAAAATAACAGTTATTTTTACAGCAGTAGTGTCAACTCCTGTGTTAGTTGACCCCATAATGAAAGCTAAGCACCAGATTACAGGATATGTAACAATGAAACCTGGAGAATAGAAGTGTTAACAAAACACAGAGAAGTGAAATTAGCAGCTGTTTAGTCCCCCCCCCCCCCACCCCACGAATAGATTTCACAATATCAAGTCTCCAGTGACCAAGTAGCCTATTCACTTCCATCAGAACATAGTATGACAAACACATACTAGCTATAGCCCTGTGTACGTCATTCAGAGTACGATGTATGAGACTACAAACGTAGGGCGGCAGGTAGCCTAGCAGGTAAGAGCGTTGGGCCAGTAACCGAAAGGGCGCTGGTTCGAATCCCTGAGCCGACTAGGTGGGGGGAAATCTGTCGATGTGCCCTTGAGAAAGGCATGTAACCCTAATTGCTCCTGTAAGTTGCTCTGGATAAGAGCGTCTGCTAAATTACTAAAATATAAGTTGTAATAAGATCGTTCCTTTATAGATGTGTATACGATCATATTTGGGAGTAGAAAACGTTATTATCCACAAGGGGAAATTGGTTTTGCAACTGAAAATATATCTTCATTATCTTCAATAATATCTCTTTGTAGTATGTGACGAGTGTGCTTGATGCTGTGGTGCACTATGTAAGCATTGCATTTAACAAGCAGGTAGTGTATGTGAGGGTTGATGTACTCACGGAGTGGAGCGGCCGAGCTGAAGAAGCGTGATCCCGTTGACCATTACCTCGCCCACCTGGGATCTTCAGGGGTGGGAGAGGAGCATCAGGAACACCACAGAGGCCCCGGACCACAGGAACTACTACAATGCAGGGACAGGCTGGCCACACACACAGAGAGAGAGAGAGAAGAGAGAGAGGTTAGGACCACAGGTACCACTTCAATGCAGGAACAGGCTAGAAAGGAAGAGGGAGAAACAGAGGTTCATTCACGCTAACATTTGCATTTCATTGCCACCGGTTCTCCATTGCATCTCAAAATGTATTTCTATACTCAAAGGAAGCAGAGCCTAGACACCCAACAGAAACACATTGACGTCTGTTCCTAGGCAACAACACAGCATAGGGGGTGGGGCTGGTTTTGATCACGTTCTCATTATTACTACACATCCTATGTAAGATGCACTGCCGTTGGGTTTTCTTTATTGTCCCCCACGATGAAAATGGGTGATGGGACTGTGGATCAGTCTCCGTCCATCCGCTAGTCACACGTGATATCTCAGACAGCACTGGCTCGATTTTGACGAAATTTGGGTGAATGACGAGTCTTGCCATAGAGATCCGGCATTTACAAAATTACACTGATTGGCCCAAGGTGGGCGCTATAGTAATTAACTGACATTTGTGAGTCGCACCAGAGAGGAGGAAGAGAAGCGAGAGGGATAACTGAGCCCAAAACCTGTCTTCTCCAGCAGGTGGCGTTATTTCTTTGGATTAGCTAAAAAAGGTACCCAGGCTAACTGCCTTCCATTTTTGAAGACATTTATTGTTTGAGTGGCCACTTGAGTATCTGGTCAATATAATGGATAATATGTGGTCACACGATAACTAAAATGTGTTAGTCACACGCAATTGGCCCAAGGGGGCGGGTGCTGCATCATTCGTGGGGGACGGCATGTTTCCTCTTACCTTGTTATAAACTGCCAAAGTGCTCCATTCTGCCATGTGTATTTGTGTAAATAAAACCTTTGCCTATCTATGGTTGGAATAGTGATGTGGTTTAAAACCGTTTCAATGCAACAATAGGACTTCCAAATCTCAGATACTGTTACATGAATCTTACACTAAATAAATAAACTTGGCAACACAAATGTAACAGGCTGGCTACTGGCTGATTAGCTAACAGGACAGGAGTGAATTAGTAGGACAGGCTAAGGGGCAGCCAGGGACGCTGGAGTGGGTGTCTAAAAGCAATGATGTGCGCTAAAAAGCTTACAGGCTCACAGCAGTGAGATGGACCAGTAAAGTGGAAGCAAAATACAGCTTTTGTGTGATTCTAAACCTCCTATCAAAAGCGGTACTATATTTTTTGTATGCGATATAGCATCAGCTCTTCCTTCATAATTGTGATTAGATTTGGGGCATTATTAAGCACATCATATCATGCCACAGAAGGCCCAGATCTCCTGTTTAAGCGGAACGTATTAATCCATGGCAAAACAAGATCAACAAACATATCCTTCATCATATGTCAGTAAACGTTAATTAATTGGTCAACGCCACAGCGGGTTGCATAATCCCCTTCAGGGAACATCTGAGGAGGCTGCATTGAATCACGACAGGAAGGCACCACAATGAGGAAAAACGTGCAATCTAAACTGCGTATCTGCCTGATGACCTATGATCAAAACTGTATGACCCTAAAACCTGATAATGATCGCTAGAAGTCAAAAATATAAGTAGACTACCACATGGAATAATGAATTCATCCCATGTAGATATTTAACTGTTTAATTTATTCATAGGGGTTGGTAGCCAGCAGATCCGGCCCGCTTGCTTACAGCTGCACTAGTCAGGCAAGTCTCCTGTTTGGAAAACACCACGGAGCCGGCACAAGATATGGCTCGGAAAAAGTACCTCAATCCAGAGATGAGAAATGCGTTGTAATCCGAATTTTCCCATTAACCAAACTGTTACACTGAGAAGATTGAATGGAAAACTGTCACAGCAGCCATTTTGGAATGGCAGCGTAAGCCAATCAGCTCTGTTGTTCAATGCGACATGCCATTCCATAATGTCTGCTGTGGTTACTACTATCTAGCACGAGGACAAAAGCATTCAATCTTCTCAGTGTAACAGTTGGGATAATGGGACAATTCGCAGTACAACGCGGCAGGTAGCTTAGTGGTTAAGGGCGTTGTGCCAGTAGCCGAAAGGTCGCTGGTTCTAATCCCCAAACCGACTAGGTGAAAAATCTGTCGATGTGCCCTTGAGCAAGGCACTTAACCCTATTTGCTCCTGTAAGTTGCTCTGGATAAGAGCGTCTGCTAAATGACTAAAATGTAAATGTAAATTTCTCATCCCTGGATTGAGGTAGGTTTTCTGAGGCATACACTACATGGCAAAATGTGGACACCTGCTCATTGAACATCTCATTCCAAAATCATGGGCATTAATATGGAGTTGGTCCCCCCTTTGCTGCTATAACAGCCTCCACTCTTCTGGGAAGGCTTTCCACTAGATGTTGGAACATTGCTGTGGGGACTTGCTTCCATTCAGCCACAAGAGCATTAGTGAGGTCTGGCACTGATGTTGGGCGATTAGGCCTGGCTCGCAGTCAGCGTTTCAATTCATCCCAAAGGTGTTCGATGGGGTCGAGGTCAGGGCTCTGTGCAGGCCAGTCAAGTTCTTCCACACCGTTCTTGACAATCCATTTCTGAACAGACCTTGCTTTCTGCATGGGGGCATTGTCATGCTGAAACAGGAAAGGGCCTTCCCCAAACGGTTGCCACAAAGTTAGAAGCACAGAATCGTCTAGAATGTCATTATATGCTGCAGTGTTAAGATTATCCTTCACTGGAACTAAGGGGCATAGCCCAAACCATGAAAAACAGCCCCAGATCATTTTTCCTCCTCCACCAAACTTTACAGTTAGCACTATGCATTGGGGCAGGTAGCGTTCTCCTGGCATCCGCCAAACCCAGATTCGTTCGTCGGACTGCCAGATGGTGAAGCGTGATTCATCACTCCAGAGAATGCGTTTCCACCCCTTCAGCTGACGCTTAGCATTGCGCATGGTGATCTTAGGCTTGTGTGCGGCTGCTCGGCCATGGAAACCCATTACATGAAGCTCCCGACTAACAGTTATTGTGCTGACGTTGCTCCCAGAGGCAGTTTGGACCTCGATAGTGAGTGTTGCAAACGAGGACAGAATTTACATGATACGTGCTTCCGTGGTCCCGTTCTGTGAGCTTGTGTGGCCTACCACTTTGCGGCTGAGCCGTTGTCGCGCCTAGAAGTTTCCACTTCACCATAACAGCACTTACAGTTGACCGGGACAGCTCTAGCAGGGCAGAAATGTGACAAACTGAAAGTCACTGATATCTTCAGTAAGGCCATTCTAGTGCCAATGTTTGTTTATGGAGATTGCATGGCTGTGTGCTCGATTTTATACACCTGTCATCAACAGGTGTGGCTGAAATAGCCGAATCCACTATTTTGAAGGGGTGTCCACATACACTATATATACAAAAGTATCTCTCGGGTGCTCCTTGGTGTCTTAATCTAAACCGGAAGCCTGTCAGACCCTAGTCTAAATGTAAGCAAGTGGGTCAGATCTTCTCCCTAACTCAACAATACTGGGACATTATGATGCCAAATTACAACAATGATGGGTGTATCATTTTGAGGGAAGAATAGTATAATGGTGTAATGTTACAATGGAAACGTAAAAGCGTTTGTGACGTCAAGATAGAGAAACGACTATTGTTGCATCACTGAGGCCTTATTATTAAATAATCAATTGTGATGTGGTTACATTTTTTACATTTACATTTTAGTCATTTAGCAGACGCTCTTATCCAGAGCGACTTAGTGAGTGCATACATATTTATTTTTTCATACTGGCCCCCCGTGGGAATCGAACCCACAACCCTGGCGTTGCACACGCCATGCTCTACCAACTGAGCTACATCCCTTAGAGACAAACATAACAATCATGGATGCAGATTCCCTCATTACAATGGAAAGGTAACAAATGCTTTTCTTCTGTTTTTGAAGTTCAACCGTGAAACGACGAGCCATTCTATTGGGTTTCACTTTGGGCCTTTTAACTCGTTCACCAGCCAACTAGCTACCTGACAATGCTAATGCTATAGCTACTATATGTGTTCAGGTGGAAAGATAGCTAGGTACTATACCAACGTCAACAATCTAACGTTAACTAATCTTATCTAGCTACAAACGAGGTGTCATTGGCAATCACTGAGACATAGAAAACCCTAACCATTTATTTCTGCTGTGTGTAAAGTGATGATAAAGTTATAGCGTCTCCCTCAAATATATTGATAACGTAACTAACCGTTAGCCTCTGTTAGATAAGTGACGTAGCTAAATTAGTTTAGCACAATACTAAGGAAGATGACTAACCTGAAACAATTTAATTATTCTTTCCAAATTAATTCTGGATATTTTTCATTGATTACTTAGATAACCAGTTGTGGACTATGTGGGTATTTTATGACATAGTAAATTAAATCCCAGTTTATATTCGCAGCTACTTCCTCGTCACTGAAAAAAATGGTTAGCTACCATCCCCCACTTGACTTTGCTGTTTTCTCAGTCTCCACTTACTTGCCAATCATGTCACAAATACTATTACTTAAATCCGCCATGGTAGTATAGCACTGTGGTTTTCCTTCTTTCTCGCGAGCAAAGCAATGACTGTTTAAGATCCGCTGGAGGTTGGATTTTACCATCCGGCCTCGGGTAGAGACACGACGGGCTTCTGACTGCTCACTGCAATGGTCGGCTGAGGAATAAAGCCCGATCGGTGCTGAACTCAAGCTAAATGAGCCTGGAGCTACGTAGGGGGAAAACAAGCGATACGTAGCTAGCTAGCCTGGGGTGAAGATAGCTACGTGGGGGCGTCTTCTGTGCAAGTGGAAAAGTACCAAGGCTAGCGAACTAACAACAAAGACCGACCGACAGACAGACAGTAGGGCTGATAGTTGTGACCAATGTAAGAAAAGTTGAAATCTGAAGCCCCTATGCAACATTATAATGCAAGTTTAAATTGAAATGTACCGAATTGAATAAAGGAACACAGTGGGAATTAAATGGGTGAATTAATCTAGGCCTTATTCATGTTATTGTCCATTTAAACTTTAGTACAGTACATATGTGTAGGTTTGACATGTTTTAATCTAGCCTTCCATACAATATAAAATACCACTTTCACTTTGCCAGTGATTTAAAGTACTTAAGTAAAAATACTTTAAAGTACTACTTAAGTAGTTTTTTTGGGGTATCAGTAATTTACTTTACTATTTATCTTTTTGACAACTTTTACGTCACTACATTCCTAAAGAAAATAATGTACTTTTTACTCATACATTTTCCCTGACACCCAAAAGTACTTAGCAGGACAAGAAAATGGTCCAATTCACGCACTTATCAAGATAACATCTCTGGTCATCCCTACTGCCCCTGATCTGGCGGACTCACTAAACACAAATGCTTCGTTTGTGAATTATGTCTGAGTGATGGAGTGTGCCCCTGGCTATCTATAAATAAATAAAAAACAAGAATAGTGCCATCTGGTTTTCTTAATATAAGGAATTTGAAATGATTTATACTTTTACTTTTGATACTTAAGTATGTTTTAGCAATTACATTTACTTTTGATACTTAAGTATATTTAAAACCCAATACTTTTAGACTTTTACTCTAGTAGTATTTTACTGGGTGACTAACTTTTACTTGAGTAATTTTCTATCAAGGTATCTTTACTTTTACTCAAGTATGACAAATTGGGTACTTTTTCCACCACTTCATTTTGCCATAAAAACATTTCTCCATGAACCCAACAGTGGACTGGAGAGACTGCAATAGGCTAGATGCACATTCTCGGCAAGCAGGTTCATCTTTTTGGGATGAGGATATAGCCTTGGCTTGTTTACCTGGCTATAAATCTCTCTCTCTCTCGCTCCTCTCTCTCTGTCTGTCTGTCTGATAAGCTTTAGCTTTAAGGAGTAGCTATTTATCTTGAATGCTATTACCAGGGACAAAGTAAGGTGATGTCCCAAATGGCACCCCATTCCCTATTCACTAGGTGCCATTTGGATTGGAATGTAGCACAAGTCTGTGTTTGAGTTGACCCCAGTGACCTTTTACCTTGGAGTTCAACATAACTTTCATACATAACTCAGTTGAATGGTGACAAAGCAACTGTCTGGACCTTATACCAGTTGCCACAACCATTCTGGACTCTGCCATTATGATGTATGGTACCGGTAGACAGTCTCATATTGGAATGTGAAGCCTATTGAGAGAAATACAGCAACATGAATTCATCCGTTAGGCTGATTCGTTTCCTTGAATTGTCTATAGCCCCCCCCCCCCCCAATTCAAAATGCCAGACTATACAAACTGAACCTTGGCAAGACGGAGCTGCTCTTCCTCCTGGGGAAGGACTGCCTGTTCCATGATCTCGCCATTACGGTTGACAACTCCATTGTGTCCTCCTCCCAGAGTGCAAAGAACCTTGGCGTGACCCTGGACATTACCCTGTCGTTCTCCGCTAACATCAAAGCGGTGACCCGATTCTGCAGGTTCATGCTCTACAACATTCGCAGAGTACGACCCTACTTTACACAGAAAGCGGCACAGGTCCTAATCCAGGCACTTGTCATCTCCCGTCTGGATTACTGCAACTCGCTGTTGTCTGGGCTCCCTGCCTGTGCCATTAAACCCCTTCAATTTATCCAGAACGCTGCAGCCCGTCTGGTGTTCAACCTTCCCAAGTTCTCTCATGTCACCCCGCTCCTCCGCACACTCCACTGGCTTACAGTTGAGGCTCGCATCTACTACAGGACCATGGTGCTTGCCTACAGAGCTGTGAGGGGAACGGCACCTCCTTACCTTCAGGCTCTGATCAGACCCTACACCCAAACGAGGGCACTACGTTCATCCACCTCTGGCCTGCTAGCTCCCCTACCTCTATGGAAGCACAGTTCCCGCTCAGCCCAGTCAAAGCTATTTGCTGCTCTGGCACCCCAATGGTGGAACAAGCTCCCCCACGACGCCAGGACAGCAGAGTCACTGACCACCTTCCGGAGACACTTGAAGCCCTACCTCTTTAAGGAATACCTGGAATAGTATAAAAGTAATCCTTCTTCCCCCACCCACCATAAAAATAATAAATAAAAAACAAGTGGTTGTCCTACTTGCTATCATAAGTTGAATGCACCAATTTGTAAGTCGCTCTGGATAAGAGCGTCTGCTAAATGATGTAAATGTAAATGTATTATCATTATAGTCTGGCATGAACTGGATTGTGTCCCAAATGGCACCCACTTCCCTATATAGTGCAATCCTTTTGACCAGAGCCCTATGGATAGTGTACACTTGTGTAAAAATGTATGCACACATGACTGTAAGTCGCTTTGGATAAAAGCGTCTGCTAAATGGCATATTATTATATTATTATTATTAACTCTTAGCTCATTGGTCACCATAGCAGCACACTGCGTAGGCCTCTGCTATACGCCCTTGACTCACTAGGTTCACCTTCATACAAACCAACAGTTTTGGCGCTACCATTCAATTTCTTCAATACTGAATCATTGCAAAAATTTAGCTGGAGACCTCTTATCCACCAATACTTAGCATCAGTTGCAACTCTTACCGTTCTTTGTTTTTCATTACGCACCCCCTGAATTAGCCAACACACTCATCCCTATGTATACCTTGTGTTTGCAAACCCCATCTCTATTTGCACAACTGATCTGACATCCATTCCGTGTTATACTCATTCTATCTCCCTATAGCCTATGATCACCTCCAACTTACATTTGCGACAATTCATTTATATTTTCTATGAATTTTGTTTTGTTTTGCATGATTACCATTGTAACTCTTTTTTATGCACTGTTTGCCTTTCAACTCTGCCAGGTGCGTTGTAATTGGAACCCAAATGGCTCTCCTGGTTAGCTTATGTGCAAATAAAATCCAGTGGAAACCGAAGGGCCTACATGTAATACGTCCCTTTGACCACTAGGTGTCAGCCTTGCATAACAAACACCTGTAACAGGTTTGATGTGTTCTGGCTACATTAATTTTTTACATTTACATTTTTAGTCATTTAGCAGACGCTCTTATCCAGAGCGACTTACAGTTAGTGAGTGCATACTTTTTCTTTTTTTCATTTTCATACTGGCCCCCCGTGGGAAACGAACCCACAACCCTGGTGTTGCAAACGCCATGCTCTACCAACTGAGCTACATCCCTGCCGGCCATTCCCTCCCCTACCCTGGATAACGCTGGGCCAATTGTGCGACATTTTCATGTCAGTTATGTTCTATGAAGCCATTTGTTTTGTATTTGAGCAATGGATTACATTGTCACTCACAACCAGCCCTAATTGGATCCCCTACAGACATCTCAGAGGCTGGCTGATGTGGTAAACCACTGTCTCTCCATCTCAGTGTGGCTTCGCTTATTGTCAAAATAGACTCAGTGAAGTGCAGAGGGCTAGTACAGGCTTGTTTTGGTTTTCACCTGTGTAACCACTCCAAAAATCCCTCTGTACTGCAGTCGAACATTTCCCATAGTTTAAGGTATTTCGCTTACTGAGAAGGAATCATATAATATAATATGCCATTTAGCAGACGCTTTTATCCAAAGCGACTTACAGTCATGTGTGCATACATTTTTACGTATGGGTGTTCCCGGGGATCGAACCCACTACCCTGGCATTACAAGCGCCATGCTCTACCAATTGAGCTACATGATTAAGTACATTGAAGATTGGGTCTGGGACATTCTACTTTGGCATAGGTATGTTCGTCAGTGTAGATACAACATGGTCTGATCTGTTAATTATACATTCAGACCTCAGGACATCTCATGGAGAAATTGAAGTGAATTGAATCGTAACAGAGGGTTGGTTTGTGGTAATGTTAATCTACACATCAATCTAATCATGTAAATCTCTTTGATGTCAGTTCCTCATTTCAGTTCTTCCTTTGTCCTTCTAGTTAATGGAATGTTTAAAGAGAACTATTCTGTAGAACTCTGGTATTTGCTGTGGAATGAGCCTCATGACCTCATGACCTGTGCTCATTGGAGAAACAAAAGAAGAGAGGCGCATTCAGTGTAGCCGTTGTCACTGGGGGTTGTCTGGGGTACTGAACTCAACTGAGCAACGCACGCACACACAACCCCCCCCCCCCCCCCCCCCCCCCCCCAACAGGGTTGTCTGTGGTACTCTACCGAGTTCCTGCTCCCCCAGAAATGTAATTCCATTGGTCAGTGCTCCATAGCAACACATTCCACCTATGACAAAGGAGTTCTGTGTTTTTGAGAGAGTGATATGAAGCAGAAAGCAACACCGGAGGATTGAAGGGCACACGCATGCACGGTGTGTGTGCGCATGTACTGTATGTGCCGAGACCCAAAACCTCCAGACGAATGTTCATCCCACGTCTGCTTCAAGTTCCTGTGTCCAAATCACTAAGGACTTAATGGTCCACACACACGCAAACAGTCGGGAAGAAGGCATGACAGCGCCTCTTCCCCCTCCGGAGGTTAAAAAGATTTGGCATATGCCCTCAGATCCTCAATTAATTCTACAGCTGGACAATTGAGAGCATCTTGACTGGCTGCATCACTGCTTGGTATGGCAATAGCACCGCCCTCGATTGCATGGCGCAACAGAGGGTGGTGCGGTCAGCCCAGGTCATCACTGGGGCTGAGCTCCCTGCCATCCAGGACCTCTATATCAGGCGGTGTGAAAGGAAGGCCTGGAAAAATCATTTAAGACTCCAGCCACCCAAGCCATAGACTGTCCTCTCTGCTGCCGCACTGCAAGCAATACCAGTGCATCAAGTCTGACACCAACAGGCTCCTGAACAGCTTCTATCCCCAAGCCATAAGACAAAATGGCTACACAGACTATCTGCATTGACCCTTCTATTTTATTTTTGTACTGTCTCTATGCACATTCTACACACACACACACACACACACACACACACTCACACTCATACTGACTCTACACACACCCACCCACACAATCATCATATACGCTGCTGCTGCTACTCTGTTTATCATATATCCTGATGCCTAGTCACCTTACAACCTATACATATCTAACCCTACCGCTCCAGTATCCCTGCACATTGTAAATATGGTATTGGAACTGACTGTATGTAGCTTACTTACTTTCTCCTGTTCTTATTTCTATTTATCGTGTGTAGTAGTGTTTTAGTTCTACTTGATTTTTAAAATATATTTTTTTATAGCACTACTGCATTGTTAGGAAAGAGCAAGCAAGAAAGGTATTTCACTGTCCTAGTGCACGTGACAAAAACTTAACCTGAAACCTGAGCTCTCCCTCTCCAGGGTCAGAGAAGCAGTGGCCTCCCGTGGAGTGAACTTGACTGGAATGTAAATAGCTAGGAGACAGACCCAGACGGACCCGTTTCCATCTGTACGACTCTCTCTGTAGTTTCTCTCACACAGAGATACTGGGTTATAATTAGGTTTAAGCCAAGGACGAGACAGACAGGAATTTGATTTTGCAATGTGCTGCTGTGAACAATATTGAAGGGCGGAGACAGACTTTTTTTGTTCCATTGAACATGCCACCACAATGAAGGCATTTAATTTGCACAAAGAGTGCACTGGTCCTCCTTAAATGGTTTGTATGATCTCTGAATCAGAAAGTTTCTTTTGTAAAATTCCCCAATTTCAATTTCCGCAATCTGACTAAAAGCTCCTCCACATTGTATAATGTACAGAGACATTACAACCAGGAATGTTAAACTATGTGTTTTCCGTGCAGATGCTTTTCACTGTAACTGTACTGTTTGGTACCACATTTTACAAATGGGCTTTTACATTTCCTTATGGCTCCTTGACTCAGTCATTCTAGACATTCTTCCATCCATTAGCAGAGATCTTACACAGTGCAATGAACACCACACACAAACACAATTACATCCATTGATGCCGTTCACAACCGAAAGACTGACGGAGCATGGTATGAATGTGTGAAAACATATTTACAATTTATTGATAAATGCAGGTGAGGCTCACATAAAAATGTACTGAATGTGTTAGTCATCATAGAGTGACGGGTACATAATGATAACAGGAATAGAACAGAATGTGGACTGTTGTCCTGCAGCCCCAGGCCATAGCAATGATTTATCCTTGGAGAAACAAGCTCAGAAGTTGAAGCGTGCATGTGTTCCAAATGGCACCCTTTTCCCTACACAGGGCTCTGGTCAAGAGTAGTGCACTACGCATGGAATAGGGTGCCATTTGGGATGTAAAGAAAAACAGAAAGGCCTTCCCTCCAGTGACTACTACGGGTTACACGATTGGATATCATAAATACTTTCACTATGGATCTTATCCATTGCAATGATTAAGACCTGCTTGGGGTGGGGCTCACTATTTGATCTACAACCTCTTTATGTACAAGTTCTGTCTGTCTGTCTCCAGACCATTCTGTGAAATTCCAGTTTCACAAATTGCAGAGGGAGCAAAGGGGTTAAGATTTACAATTAGGTTCTCAGTCACCATAACACGTATATGGAGAACTAAAGGCACTATAACAATTTATAATATCAAAAACAACAATTATAGATGACATTAAAGACATGTTCCGGTACTTTGGCGACTAAGAAAGTGTTTTTTAAACCTCCCGCTTTGGGCTGGATGTGTCAATGCGTAGTTCATACATGCATAATCTATGAGCAGTATTACCGTTTTAACTCAATTAGCCACGAAAACCCTAGTTTGAAAGTGACTTTTCTTGAAGCTGTGCCGGGCCATTTTCCCCACATTTCCCCCCCACATGGGCCAGCCCCTAGCAATTCAAGTTCTAGCCAATGAGCTTCAGCCCTCCCGCATTTGAGTGACAGCTAGCAAGAGGCCTCCCCAGCGTTATCCAATGAGGTTGCAGGGCGGGCCCAACGGCTCAGTGGACACAGCAGAGAGAGAGAGAGAGCAATGACGTGGTGCAAATACTTTATTTGCACATATGTGACGTAGTAAGCAATTTTCAGGGACCACTTTTGGCTCGTGAGCGCTACTTTCAGAACTAGTGGCTGAAAAGTATACAAAAGTACCGGAGAATCTCTAAGGTAAGTATTGGGGTAAGTGGGACCATAGCAGTGGTGGTACTGGCTGTCTTAGTATCGCTTAACTAATGAGATACATACAGTATTATGTGGCATTAGGCAGTACACGTTTTAGATTGGTTCATGTCAGACTATTTCCATGGTTCCCATCCCATCTAGGCCAATCAAAACAGCTTTGGTTTCAAGATGGCCACCTTTCTAACCAATACATGTCCTCCTTGTGGATTAACAAGGAGAAATACAACACCAAACACTCTAAACTGAGCAGTAGACGAGGCATCCTTCTGGAACCAGTTGACTCAATTTCAACACACTAGTTTGAATGTGTATGCGCAATTCAATACACGCCAGTGTCAATGCCTGTGTGTGACATAAAACCAATGTGTGAAAGCAAATTAAAGTTAGCTAGCTGCACATGCACAATCAAACATTTCTGTCAAGAGTTCCTGGACATGGATGAAATGAGGACGAGAGCTCTTGTTTGAAAGGGCAAGAAGTCATATTGATAAGGACAACACAAAACAGTAACACTTGAAATGTCTTGGCAGGTGTGTATACTGACTTGTTCATCAATACTAATGGTAAGTGAGTTTAGGTCTCTCCGCATCACTTCAATCCTCCATTCCCTGCTTCGTTTCTTCTCACAGCTGCTGTGTCTGGGGTGGAACAGAGAGTGCTCCGATTCTGGCAAGAGAGACTATCCCGGTCTGTTCTGCCCATCGCTGGCCTGCTTGTGCTTTGGGACGGTTCCTTACCAGCGGGTTTGTGTCTTTACAGTAAAGTAAACAACAGCAGTCTCTAGGCTAGAGACATACAGTAGAAGTGGAAGCTGAATGGACAGGAAAGTGAGTGATGCCTTGTTACTTTCATGCATTTGGGTGGAGAGCAGACAGGCAGGTTCACATTGTATCACTGTGTATCCTCCGAGACAGATACAGGGGGAAACCCATAGCAGTTCATGGTCTCTACACACTAACGCAGTTGCCCCAATCCCAAACCCATCCAATCCTTTCAGATCTCCAGGAGTACCTAGGGGGTAGGAGTTAGGCGTTGATTTGGGATTCAGACGGTCTGTCCGGTCAGCGTGTCAGTCCGAGTAGAGCAGTTCAGCAGTATGACACAGAGACAGAGGGTGAGCGGCGCTGAAGTACTGACAACACAGCCAGTCCTCTAACTCAGCGTTCCTCTCCGGCTCCAGAGACCTCTCTGCAAACTTCATCATCAGTAGGGCTCTCTTCACGTCCAACCAGTTGAGGAGGCCCTCGTGGCAGGTCCCTTCCCCGGGGCCCAGCCTGTCCCCCCACTGCTGTTGCTCCATCAGGTCTCTTCGGGGGCCCCACAGCAGGCTCTGCAGCACCCGCTTGGCCTCCTGGATGTGGATGCGTTTAATGGGGTCCGGCTGGAGGAGTAGCCGGGTCAGTCTCTGGAGTCCAGCGGAGTAGAGAGAGACGGGAGGGATGGGGGGCAGGTCCTCACAGCTGTAGTCCTGTTCTTTCAGTTTCGGGCTGACCTCAAACGGGTTGGGCTGGTGGAGGAGCTCATAGATTAGAATACCGGTTTGGAACTCGTCGAATTTCCGGTACTGGGCGGCCGAGACGATCTCCGGGGCCAAGCGGGCATGGTCGCGTTTGAGGCGGGGGTCATTGTGGGCGGAGTCCTCTGTGTTCCGCTGCTTGGCCTTGGCGAAGCTGGAGATGACCAGGCGGGGGAGGTGCTTCTGGTCGTGGGGGGCGTTGGGGTTGGCCTGCGGGGGTCGGCGGTGAGGGATCAGAAGGAGGTTCTCCAGACAGAGGTCTCGATGTGTCACCCCGTGCTCCTTTAGATGGTCCAGACCGTTGCAGAGCTGCAGCAGGAGGAAGCAGACCCACCGCTCATACACCTCCGGCTCGGCCTGTTGGAAAAACAAATACAAATGAGACACAGGCAGGCAAAAGTCAAGTAATATTGCGTCTTTCATTCCATGTCCACTATGGTGAACATCGCACCATTCAGTCAACGTTCCGGCATAGTGGCCTTCCTCAAGATAAGATGCAATGAAATGAGATGTTTAAACGGGCACAATCATACCTGGTGAAAGGACGCCCACTCCTTGACGAAGTCTGCCGTAGTCTGCTGTGGCACCTCCCGGGTGATAACCACCACGCGCTCCTTGTCCCCCTGCGTGGGGTTGGGACTGGGGGGCAGCGAGGCCTCGTCAGCGGGGAGCATGCTCTGGGGCACGCAGGCTATGAAGTGGCCACAGTCCTGCTGGAGGTTGAAGTGGGGAGGGAGGGTCTTCTGGACGGACAGGCTGTAGAGATGACCCTGCTTGGCCTCAGAGGTCTGGCTCTTACAGATCTGGCGAGAGAAGAGGAGAGACACCGTGGTTAGAATAGAAACAAAGGCATAATGTGGAAGAAAATGTCTGCCTGGCTCTTAGATATCTGGAGAGTGGAGGGGGAAGGGTTAGACCACAATGTGCGGGAAAGTGAATATTAGTTTTCTTAATAATTGTGCTTCAGAGAGAAGAATGGGAGAGACTGGTTAGTCACAGCCAGGAATGAGGAAATGATTCAATTACATTGAAACAGGGTTTAATACACCTCCCCATCCAAGACATTTCCCCTGGTTAAGTAGCTTTAAGTAGAGACTTTGTGAGGAATATTATCCCCTCTTGCTGTCAACAAGCTTTAAATCCGTCATTCATTTAGATCTTGTTTTCAATCAAGTAGTAGCAGACAGACAGTAATTCCAATAAGTCTACCAGTCTAACTACAAGCAGCCATCAATGAGTTTCATCATGTTTGATATGAGTAAAGCCAAACACTGTGGGTATGTCCCTAATGGCACCTTATTCCCTGTAAAGTGCATTTTTGACCAGTCATATAGGCCCTAGTCAAAAGTAGGGCACTATATTGGGAATAGGGTGGTATTTGGGATGCAACTTGTCTATCTCTCCCACTTTACAAACACAGCTGAGCTCTGATATGACATAGGCAACGTCCCAAATGGCACCCTTTCCCCTATATAGTGCACTGCTTTTGACCAGAGTCCTATAGGCCCTGGTCAAAAGTAGTGCACTATAAAATGAATATGGTTCCACTTGGGACATAGTGATTTAATTGTAACTCTACAGATTGATGATTCATATGAGGGCTGGATGATTTCATTACGCATTCACATCACACAGCTGCTGCTGTGTGTGTTTGTGTGTGGGTAGTATGTTTGTGTGAGAGAAATAATGTGTGTGTGTGTGTGTGTGTGTGTGTGTGTGTGTGTGTGTGTGTGTGTGTGTGTGTGTGTGTGTGTGTGTGTGTGTGTGTGTGTGTGTGGGCCTTGACAACAGGGGTGTGTTTGAACTGTAAATCCTGGCTGGCATGAAAAGATTAATGGACCTAGAGGCATTAGGCAAGACTACAGAGCCTCAGGCAGCGAGCCCCCTTGACACACAGCTCTGGATTTACACGTTGCTTTTACACATTGCTAATGACTTTGGGACAAAGGTCAGTCAGAATGAATGCAGAGCCCTCCTCTCTCCTCAGTACAGCAGGCTACAGTAACACCTCCTCTCTCCCCAGTACAGGCAGGTACAGTTAACACCTCTACCATCCTCTCTCCTCAGTACAGCAGGCTACAGTAACACCTCCTCTCTCCTCAGTACAGCAGGCTACAGTAACACCTCCTCTCTCCTCAGTACAGCAGCTACGTCAGTAAGCACACCCTCCTCTCTCCTCAGTACAGCAGGCTACAGTAACACCTCCTCTCTCCTCAGTACAGCAGGCTACAGTAACACCTCCTCTATCCTCAGTACAGCAGGGTACAGTACAGTAACACCTCCTCTCTCCTCAGTACAGCAGGCTACAGTAACACCTCCTCTCCTCAGTACAGCAGGCTACAGTACAGTAACACCTCCTCTCTCCTCAGTACAGCAGGCTACAGTAACACCTCCTCTCTCCTCAGTACAGCAGGCTACAGTACAGTAACACCTCCTCTCTCCCCAGTACAGCAGGCTACAGTAACACCTCCTCTCTCCTCAGTACAGCAGGCTACAGTAACACCTCCTCTCTCCTCAGTACAGCAGGCTACAGTAACACCTCCTCTCTCCTCAGTACAGCAGGCTACAGTACAGTAACACCTCCTCTCTCCTCAGTACAGCAGGCTACAGTAACACCTCCTCTCTCCTCAGTACAGCAGGCTACAGTAACACCTCCTCTATCCTCAGTACAGCAGGCTACAGTACAGTAACACCTCCTCTCTCCTCAGTACAGCAGGCTACAGTAACACCTCCTCTCTCCTCAGTACAGCAGGCTACAGTACAGTAACACCCTCCTCTATCCTCAGTACAGCAGGCTACAGTACAGTAACACCTCCTCTCTCCTCAGTACAGCAGGCTACAGTAACACCTCCTCTCTCCTCAGTACAGCAGGGTACCTGGCTCGGCTGAGGCTCCCTTTGGTCTTCTGAGCAGTCTAAGAGCTTGTTAAGGGGTTGGCTTACTTCATTGTACAGGTTTGACTGTTTAACGAGGTAAGAAGATGACCTTGATTGATGAGTAGAATGTACACTGTCCAATCACAAGGGAGTTTGGACCAATCAGAGTGGAGTTTTGAATTTGAGCTGCAGATTACAAATACGTTCTTCTCACTGTAATTAGGGGAGATGCCTCTAGACATGTCTGTCATTGACACACACACACACACATCCAGGCCACACGCTTGTTTATAATTCCACAGGTTCTTTCCCCAAAATGTATTCTCAGCCCCATTTGTTTAGTCTCCACACTTATTGCAATGTAAACATTAACCACAAGAGTCCTTGATATTAAAACGATGTGACATCAAAGCACTACATGACAGCCTTGGCCCAAAAAACAACGCTACTTTGAAACTCAAGAAAACAGAGAGACTGGTCTCCCTTGGGAAAGCGGTCTTCTAACCTAAATGGGACTTGCTGGTTACATAAATAAAAGCTATAGAGATGAAAGGGAGTCAGTGTTCCAGTTACCTTGACTGCGTAGGAGTTGGATGGGTCTGAGGCGCAGGCAGCAGAGTAGTAGACAGCGTCTCCTGCATTACAGCTGGCCTTGTTACAGGTCAGTTTGAACAGGGACCAGTTGCTCTCATCAAACCTCAGCGGGTTCTTCTGGCTACGGGTGAAGTGGTCCTCACACTTCAGAGCCAGGCGGCGCAGCGACTCAGCGTACAGGCCTCCCAGCTTGGAGTAGATCCCCTCTCTACTGTCCATGTTACTGAGCAGGGTCTTCAGCTGCAGGCCGGAGCCGCGGGGGGCGCTGAGCTGGGGGGAGGACGAGGAGGTGATGCTGCCTCGGCTGTGACCCCCTAGTCGGCCCCGAACTTTCAGGGGTTCGTCCAGGGTCCGGGAGCGCAGGGGGTGTCCCAGAGGGGTGTGACAGCGCTCTAAGGACTCAGAAGAGGAATAGAGGGGCCGGGGTTCCACTGGGGAGGATGGAAGACTGGATAGGGACGGGACGTTGCTCTCTGAGCCACCGGTGAAGGGGAGGCGGGGGTAGGCCCAGACTAAGGGTTTCCCGGCCATGTTGTCAGGGGCGGATACGGTGCGATTCACCATTTTCTTTTCGGGTAGGGGCGGTGGCTGCAGCTGATTGGAGAGGGTGTTGCTAAGGAACGGGTCAGGGTGAGGAGACCCTGGAGATGAGGCCATCGGGCTTCTGGGAAATGACGAGGTGCACGACAGACGAGGGGCATCATGGGAACCTGCAGAGAGAGATACAAGACATCAGTATTCATGTTGAATATCACACTGAGACAGGCTAGAGACGGGAAGATATTACATTTGAAGCACATTTCAATTTTTTATATCCTGAATTTCCTCAAACACATGACTGGAGAACTACCAGCAGCATCAACACTTCTCTGATCAAACAACTTGCCACACTTATATATATATAAAAAAAAAAAAAAACACAAATCAAATTGCCACAGCATAGATAAAACCTGTTAGAAATAACGTCTCACACTACTAAATCTTCAGCGATTTACAGTATGTTCATCAGTCAGTTTAAGTGAACACACCATAAACAGGATTAGTACAGAACAGGTACAGTCGGTCACCAAGGGTTCAGGCTGATATAGATTGAGTGCAGAGACAGCAATAAGCAGAGTGAGGAGAGTGACTTAACTGTCGCTAGTAGTTACTGTTTAACTAGTAGTGCCTCAGGTGCCTGTACTGATTCTTATAAATGGGAGCTTTGTGTCCCAGTGCCTCTCTAGCCCATAAAGCTATACAGTACATTGCTATATTACCTCTTACCCACATAACTACAGTACCTTACCCCTCACCTGAAAACTCTTATTAAGAGTGACTTACAAATCAGTGCATTCAATTAAGGTAGGTAAAACAACCACATATCACAATCATTGAAGTAAAACCTTCTAAATAACCTTTGAAAATCAGTGCTAGTACCCATAAACCCATACCCTCACCCATAAACAGTACATACATTACCATACCCTCACCCATAAACAGTACATACATTACCATACCCTCACCCATAAACAGTACATACATTACCATACCCTCACCCATAAATCTACAGTACATACATTACTATACCCTCACCCATAAATCTACAGTACATACATTACCATACCCTCACCCATAAATCTACAGTACATACATTACCATACCCTCACCCATAAATCTATAGTACATTATCCACTCCCCAACAGCATCTGACTGGGTGGATTCGGCTCAGCAGGCTAGTCATAGTAGCTGCACCCATCCTGTCACTGTGGCCCTCCCCATAATGGCTTAGTCATATCAGTCAGCACACACACATTCATCTATTCATCTGTTCCCTCGGAGGGTGTAGTGACAAGTTTAGAATGAGTTGGTGCACAATTTAAGGTTCAAGACGATGGTCACAATGTCTGCCGTGCTGTACCATTAGAAAAGATTGAATTAAAGAGTAGAGCATAAAGAATGTGAAACTCCACAGTCTTCCCCAGAGAGACGGATAATTGTGTGGTTGTTGATAGTAAGGCTGCATAGATAGGGTCGCATTGGGAGCACAGACTAAATGAGTAGGTTTCCAGGGGGGAAATCTAAAGGAAAGATTGCATGTATGCATGAAGCGGCAAAATACCTTATTTTCCTCATTATCAAAGTCCCATAATTATCTCTTCAAACACTTCCCAGGAAGTGAGACAATTACAGACTGTCTGAGAGTCACTGACTGTGTCCCCATTCGCACCCTATTCCCTATGTAGTGCACTAGTTTTGACCAGAGCTGTATCGGGCCCTGGTCAACAGTAGTGCACTAGATAGGGAATAGAGTGCCATTAGGGCCGCACCCCACTGGGCTTTAGACCGTATATGGAGAGATGAAGACTGTGACGCCAAACCAAACCAAGGTGCGTCAGACCTCAGTCAGCAGCGTGCAGGGTTACACACACTATGTGGAAAATTAGGCAACTCAAAACAAAGGCTGACAGACTTATACACACTAAGTCTAAAAGAGGAAGAGGACAGAGAAGAGGACACTACTTATTTTACTATAACCTCATTTGTTACTAACCTCATCTGTTATTATAACCTATGTAACCTCATCTGTTACTATAACCTCTATAACCTCATCTGTTACTAACCTCATCTGTTACTATAACCTCTATAACCTCATCTGTTACTAACCTCATCTGTTACTATAACCTCTATAACCTCATCTGTTACTAACCTCATCTGTTACTATAACCTCTATAACCTCATCTGTTACTAACCTCATCTGTTACTATAACCTCTATAACCTCATCTGTTACTAACCCCATCTGTTACTATAACCTCTATAACCTCATCTGTTACTAACCTCATCTGTTACTATAACCTCTATAACCTCATCTGTTACTAACCTCATCTGTTACTATAATCTCTATAACCTCATCTGTTACTAACCTCATCTGTTACTATAAAAATAATATATATGCCATTTAGCAGACGCTTTTATCCAAAGTGACTTACGGTCATGTATGCATACATTTTTACGTATGGGTGGTCCCGGGGATTGAACCCACTACCCTGTCGTTACAAGCGCCATGCTCTACCAATTGAGCTACAGACAACCTCATATCTGTTACTATAACCTCTATAACCTCATATGTTACTATAACCTCTATAACCTCATATATGTTACTATAACCTCTATAACCTCATATCTGTTACTATAACCTCTATAACCTCATATCTGTTACTATAACCTCTATAACCTCATATCTGTTACTATAACTCTGGGGCTCTATTCCCCCCAGGACCAACTCTGGGGCTCTATTCCTGGGGCTACCTGCCAAACTTGACAGTTTTAAAAAAAAAAAAAAAAAAAAAAAAGTTTAATCTATCTTCATTTAACACATTTTACCAACGTTTTAGTTATTTTTATATTTTTTACTCGCTCAACTTTTTTCATTCAACTTTTTCACCCCGGACGCTTTATCTGGACATGGTTCTATAGGACCTCCACCAACCGAAGCTAAGTAGTAACATTAACCCTATGCCATCTAATTGCTGTCATGGACTCATAATATACAGGAGAACTATCGCCTTATGGTGAGGATAGCCGTGCTGCAAGCACAGCTTCAGACGCAATCGTTAGGCAAGGGCAATGTAAGTGTAGGAAAGGATGAAACAGCGTCTGTGCCACCAGTAAGCACAGATAGTCGTATAAATCCCCTTGCACGGTCCCCGCAGCCGGACAATTTTCTCAAGGCTTCTGGAAAGAAATGCTGTTGGCATGCTCAACCGGTGTCGCTCATTCAGCCGACAGAAACTTTCAACCGGTTCTCCCCATTAAACAACGAGTCAGAGGCCGAGCCTTCTCAGGTCTCTCCTCCACCCGTTACGGGGTCTGAGCCACCGAAGACTCCCACCATTAGCTCGGACAAATTGAAAACCCTAGTCATTGGCGACTCCATTACCCACAATATTAGACTTAAAAAGAATCATCCAGCGATCATACACTGTTTACCAGGGGGCAGGGCTACCGACGTAAAGGCTAATCTGAAGATGGTGCTGGCTAAGGCAAAAACTGGCGAGTGTAGAGAGTATAGGGATATTGTTATCCACGTCGGCACCAACGATGTTAGGATGAAACAGTCAGAGGTCACCAAGAGCAACATAGCTTCAGCGTGCAAATTAGCTAGAAAGATGTGTCGGCATCGAGTAATTGTCTCTGGCCCCCTCCCAGTTAGGGCGAGTGATGAGCTCTACAGCAGAGTCTCACAACTCAATTGCTGGTTGAAAACTGTTTCTGCCCCTCCCAAAAGATAGAATTTGTAGATAATTGTCCCGCTTTCTGGGACTCACCCACAAACAGGACCAAGCCTGGCCTGCTGAGGAGTGACGGACTCCATCCTAGCTGGAGGGGGGCTCTCATCTTATCTATCAACATAGACAGGGCTCTAACTCCTCTAGCTCCACAATGAGATAGGGTGCAGGCCAGGCAGCAGGCTGTTAGCCAGCCTGCCAGCTTAGTGGAGTCTGCCACTAGCACAGGCAGTATAGTCAGCTCAGCTATCCCCATTGAGACAGTGTCTGTGCCTCAATCTAGGTTGAGCAAAACTAAACATGGCGGTGTTTGCCTTAGCAATCTCACTGGAATAAAGACCTCCTACATTCCTGTCATTATTGAAAGAGATTGTGATATCTCACATCTCAAAATACTTAATGCTACTTAATGTTAGATCCCTCACTTCCAAGGCAGTTATGGTCAATGAACTATTCACTGATCATAATCTTGATGTGATTGGCCTGACTGAAACATGGCTTAAACCTGATGAATTTACTGTGTTAAATGAGGCCTCTCCTCCTGGTTACACTAGTGACCATATACCCCGCGCATCCCGCAAAGGCAGAGGTGTTGCTAACATTTACGATAGCAAATGTCAATTTACCCCCCAAAAATGACTGCTTTTTCATATTTTGAGCTTCTAGTCATGAAATCTATGCAGCCTACTCAATCACTTTTTATAGCTACTGTTTACAGGCCTCCTGGGCCGTATACAGAGTTCCTCACCGAGTTCCTATCGGACCTTGTAGTCATGGCAGATAATATTCTAATTTTTGGTGACTTTTATATTCACATGGAAAAGTCCACAGACCCACTCATCAACTCAGTAGGTTTTGTCCAACATGTCTCCGGACCTACTCATTGCCACAGTCATACCCTGGAAATATTGTGGATCTAAATGTTTTTCCTCATAACCCTGGACTATCGGACCACCATCTTCTTATTACGTTTGCAATCGCAACAAATAATCTGCTCAGACCCCAACCAAGGACCATCAAAAGCCATGCTATAAATTCTTGGACAACCCAAAGATTCCTAGAGGCCCTTCCAGACTCCCTCCACCTACTCAAGGACGTCGGAGTACAGAAATCAGTTAACGACCTAACTGAGGATCTAAATTTAACCTTGCGTAATACCCTAGATGCAGTCGCACCCCTAAAAACAAAAAATATCTGTCACAAGAAACTAGCCCCCTGGTATACAGAAAATACCCAAGCCCTGAAGCAAGCCTCCAGACAATTGGAACGGAAATGGCACTCCACCAAACTGGAAGTCTTCCTACTAGTTTGGAAAGAAAGTACAGAGCAATATCGAAGAGCCCTCACTGCTGCTCGATCATCCTATTTTTCCAACCTAATTGAGGAGAATAAGAACAATCCAAAATGTATATTTGATACTGTCGCAAAGCTAACTAAAAAGCAGCATTCCCCAAGCTTGAATGCCTTTCACTTCAGCAGTGATGAATTCATGAACTTCTTCGACGAAAAGATCATGATCATTAGAAAGCAAGTTACGGACTCCTCTTTGAATCTGCGTATTTCTCCAAAGCTCAGCTGTCCTGAGTCTGCACAAAACTGCCAGGACCTAGGATCAATCAAGTTTTTTAATCCTATATCTCTTGACACATTACTGAAAATAGTCATGGCCTCTAAACCTTCAAGCTGCATACTGGACCCTATTCCAACTAAACTACTGAAAGAGCTACTTCCTGTGCTTGGCCCTCCTATGTTGAACATAATAAATGGCTCCCTATCCACTGGATGTGTACCAAACTCACTAAAAGTGGCAGTAATAAAGCCTCTCTTGAAAAAGCCTAACCTTGACCCAGAAAATGTAAAAAACTGATCGAATCGGCCTATATCGAATCTCCCATTCCTCTCAAAATGTTTAGAAAAAGCTGTTGTGCAGCAACTCACTGCCTTCCTGAAGACAAAAAATGTATACGATACGCTTCAGTCTGGTTTTAGACCCCATCAAAGCACTGAGACCGCACTCGTGAAGGTGGTAAATTACCTTTTAATGGCGTCAGACCAAGGCTCTGCATCTGTCCTCGTGCTCCTAGACCTTAGTGCTGCTTTTGACACCATCGATCACCACATTCTTTTGGAGAGATCGGAAACCTTAAATTGGTCTATACGGACAAGTTCTTGCCTGGTTTAGATCTTATCTGTCGGAAAGATATCAGTTCGTCTCTGTGGATGGTTTGTCAATTGTAAGTTTCAGTGTTCCTCAAGGTTCCGTTTTAGGACCACTACTGTTTTCACTATGTATTTTACCATTCGGAAACACAATGTTAACTTTCATTGCTATGCGGACGACACACAGCTCTACATTTCGATGAAACATGGTGAAGCCCCAAAATTGCCTACCCTGGAAGCCTGTGTTTCAGACATAAGGAAGTGGATGGCGGCAAACTTTTTACTTTTAAACTCTGACAAAACAGAGATGCTAGTTCTATGTCCCAAGAAACAAAGAGATCTTCTGTTGGATCTGACAATTAATCTTGATGGTTGTACAGTCGTCTCAAAAAAAAAACTGTGAAGGACCTCGGCGTTACTCTGGACCCTGATCTCTCTTTTGAGGATCATATCAATACTATCACAAGGACAGCTTTTTTCCATCTTCGTAACATTGCAAAAATCTGAAACCTTTTGTCCAAAAATGATGCAGAAAAGCTAATCCATGCTTTTGTCACTTCTAGATTAGACTACTGCAATGCTCTACTCTCCGGCTACCCGGATAAAGCACTAAATAAACTTCAGTTAGTGCTAGACACGGCTGCTAGAATCTTGACTAGAACCAAAATATTTGATCATATTATTCCACTGCTAGCCTCTCTACACTGGCTTCCTGTTAAGGCTAGGGCTGATTTCAAGGTTTTACTGCTAACCTACAAAGCATTACATGGGCTTGCTCCTACCTATCTCTCCGATTTGGTCCTGCCGTACATACCTACACGTACGCTACGGTCACAAGACGCAGGCCTCCTTATTGTCCCTAGAATTTCTAAGCAAACAGCTGGAGGCAGGGCTTTCTCCTATAGAGCTCAATTTATATGGAATGGTCTGCCTATCCATGTGCGAGACGCAGACTCGTTCTCGACCTTTAAATCTTTACTGAAGACTCATCTCTTCAGTAGATCTTATGATTGAGTGTAGTCTGGCCCAGGGGTGTGAAGGTGAACGGAAAGGCACTTTAGCGACAAACAGTCCTTGCTGTCTCAGCCTGGCCGGTTCCTGTCTCTCCATTGGGATTCTCTGCCTCTGACCCAATTACGGGGGCTGAGTCACTGGCTTATTGGTGCTTTCCATGCCGTCCCTAGGAGGGGTGCATCACTTGAGTGGGTTGAGTCACTGATGTGATCTTCCTGTCCGGTTTGTCGCGCCCTCAGGCTCATGCAGTGGAGGAGATCTTCGTGGGCTATACTCAGCCTTGTCTCAGGTAAGTAGGTTGGTGGTCTGTTGATATCCCTCTAGTGGTGTGGGGGCTGTCCTTTGGCAAAGTGGGTGGGGTTATATCCTGCCTGGTCTGGGGGTATCATCGGACGGGGCCACAGTGTCTCCCGACCCCCCCCCAGCCTCCAGTATCTATACTGCAATAGTGTATGTGCCGGGAGGCTAGGGTCAGTCTGTTATAGGCGGCAGGTAGCTTAGTGGTTAAGAGCGTTGTGCCAGTAACCGAAAGGTCGCTGGTTCTAATCCCAGAGCCGACTAGGTGAAAAATCTGTCGATGTGCCCTTGAGCAAGGCACTTAACCCTAATTGCTCCTGTAAGTCGCTCTGGATAAGAGCGTCTGCTAAATGACAAAAAAATGTAAAAAAAAATGTAAAATGTTATATCTGGTGTTATTCTCCTGTCTTATCCGGTGTCCTGTGTGAATTTAAGTATGCTCCCTCTACTTCTCTCTCTCCCTCCCATCCCAGAGGACCTGAGCCCTAGACAGTACTGTGCAGCCGTTTTCGTTTTGTATACATCTGGCCCTTCATTGGACACTGTGTTAACAAACCTCCAAACGAGCTTCAATGCCATACAACACTCCTTCAGTAGCCTCCAACTGCTCTTAAACACTAGTAAAACTAAATGCATGCTCTTCAACCGAACGCTGCTTGCACCCGCCCACCCGACTAGAATCACTACTCTCGACGGGTCTGACCTAGAGTATGTGGACAACTACAAATATCTAGGTGTCTGGTTAGACTGTAAACTCTCCTTCCAGACTCACATTAAGAATCTCCAATCCAAAGTTAAATCTAGAATCGGTTTCCTATTTCGCAACAAAGCCTCCTTCACTCATGCTGCCAAACATGCCCTCGTAAAACTGACTATCCTACCGATCCTTGACTTTACAAAATAGCCTCCAACACTCTACTCAGCAAATTGGATGTAGTCTATCACAGTGCCATCCGTTTTGTCTCCAAAGCCCCATATAATACCCACCACTGTGACCTGTACGCTCTTGTTGGCTGGTCCTCACTACATATTCGTCGCCAAACCCACTGGCTCCAGGCCATCTATAAATCACTGCTAGGCAAATCCCCGCCTTATCTTAGCTCATTGGTCACCATAGCAACACCCACCCGTAGTCTGCGCTCCAGCAGGTATATCTCACTGGTCATCCCCAAAGCCAACACCTCCTTTGGCCGCAATTCCTTCCAGTTCTCTGCTGCCAATGACTGGAACGAAATGCAAAAATCTCTGAAGCTGGAGACACTGATCTCCCTCACTAACTTTAAGCATCAGTTGTCAAAGCACCTTACCGATCACTGCACCTGTACACAGCCCATCTGAAATTAGCCCGCCCAACTACCTCATCCCTATATTGTTATTTATTTTGCTCATTTGTACCCCAGTATCTCTATTTGCACATCATCTCTTGCACATCTATCATTCCAGTGTTAATACTAATTGTAATTATTTTGCACTATAGCCTATTTATTGCCTTACCTCCATAACTTGCTACATTTGCACACACTGTATATATATGTATTTCTGTTGTATTTTTGACTTTGTTTTGTTTTACCCCATATGTAACTCTGTGTTGTTGTTTTTATCGCACTGCTTTGCTTTATCTTGGCCAGGTCGCAGTTGTAAATGAGAACTTGTTCTCAACTGGTTTACCTGGTTAAATAAAGGTGAAATAAAAATAAATAAAAAAAGGACCATGCCTCAGGACTACATTTACATTTTACGTCATTTAGCAGACGCTCTTATCCAGAGCGACTTACAAATTGGTGCATTCACCTTATGATAGCCAGTGGGACAACCACTTTACAATATTTGTTTTTAATTGTAATTTTATTTGTAATAGTTTTTTTTTTTTTCTCGAATGTTTTTAATTCAAATTTTTAATTTTTTAGAGTATGTTTTTAATTTTCATTTGTTTATATATATATATATATATATATATATATATATATTTTTTTTTTTTATTTTTTTTTTTTTTTTTATTATTATTATTTTTTATTTATTATTATTATTTTTTGGTTGTGGGGGTGGGGTAGGGGGGGGGGGGGGGATAGAAGGATTACTTTTATACTATCCCAGGTATTCCTTAAAGAGGTAGGGTTTCAAGTGTCTCCGGAAGGTGGTCAGTGACTCCGCTGTCCTGGCCTCGTGAGGGAGCTTGTTCCACCATTGGGGTGCCAGAGCAGCGAACAGTTTTGACTGGGCTGAGCGGGAACTGTGCTTCCGCAGAGGTAGGAGGTAGGGGGAGGACTACCTGGCCAGATGACTCCTTGCTGTCCCCAGTCCACCTGGTCGTGCAGCTACTCCAGTTTCCACTCTTCTGCCTGCGGCTATGGAACCATGACCTGTTCACCGGACACGTTACCTTGTCCCAGATCTGCTGTTTTCAACTCTCTCTCTCTACCGCTCCTGCTATTTCAACCTCTAAATGCCCGGCTATGAAAAGCCAAGTGACATTTACTCCTGATGTACTGACCTGTTGCAACCTCTACAACCTCTGTGATTATTATTTGACCATGCTGGTCATCTATGAACGTTTGAACATCTTGGAGAAAAATCTGGCCTTAATGGCCATGTACTGTTATAATCTCCACCCGGCACAGCCAGAAGGGGACTGGCCACCCCTCAGAGCCTGGTTCCTCTCTGGGTTTCTTCCTAGGTTTCTGCCTTTCTAGGGAGTTTTTCCTAGCCACCGTGCTTCTACATCTGCATTGCTTGCTGTTTGGGGTTTCTGTATAGCACTTTGTGACATCTGCTGATGTAAAAAGGGCTTTATAAATAACATTTGATTGATTGATTGATTGATATTCCCCCCAGGACCAACTCTGGGGTACTATTTCAACAGCACCAGAGATGATACGTGTAGTTGCTCTCAAAACAATGTTTTCTCGTGGATCTCTTGGCCCTAGTTATATGTCCCGGCTGGTGGCTGTAACAGTTACTCACCAGAATCAGAGAGAGCTCTGTTGGAGTCTCCAGGCAGGCTGTCGGTGGAGGCTGTAGGCAGGCTGCTGCTCCCCAGGCCACGGAGACTGTGGGTCAGGCTCTCGACAGAGCCCTGCTGGCTGCAGCGGTCCAGCTCCACACTGCTCTGGCTCATCTTACCAGACGCCCTGCAGAGAGCAGAACAGAGGATATTACTCTCTGTGTGTGTGTTTGTTGCCTTATCATCTCATTTACATAACCAGGAAGTCACCTTAATAATAAACACAACAGCTTCCACCATTAAAAACTAATTATCACTGTTATCAAAACCGGCTGATGCTTACACGGCTTAAAAACAGCTAACAAAATGTCTCTATTGCAGCGCTCAACAATTACAGTGTTCTCTCTTCCGAACAGTTAAACAGAACAGAACATGTTAGTTCTCCTGTCTAATTTCAGGGGACTGGTCAAGCGTGTTGTGTGTGTTTGTGTGTGTGTGTGTGTGTGTGTGTGTGTGTGTGTGTGTGTGTGTGTTGTGTGTTGTGCTGCCTGTCAGTTTTGGTTCAGGCTAAGAGGTTGTTTACGATCTATCGTTGTCTCTGTGAGCCAGAAATATAGCTTCCCCTCCATCTCATTTAGATATCTCAACGTGTCTGGATGTGAACAATACGGTTAAGCCACTACATGAGGTAACCTGCCTCCACAAGAACACATAAAACATCAGATACTAGTCTCACTTCCTCTTCTGAGAGGAACACGCTTCTGGCTGAGTGAATGCTTGTTGTTGCTGTGTCTCTTAAAAGGAAAAAACCCATCCAAAATCTTTTGGTATTTTGTTCATTAGTCCACTGTACAGTGCCAAAATGTTTTGCATGTCAGCATTAAAGTTTTCAAGATATTGGACTTTCAAGAAGCAAAGTGTCACTTGCCAGATCATCATGATGATGTGGCAAGTTACATTGAGACTGTATCAACAATGAACTAATGAACAAAATATCGTCTTTGAGTAGAGTTTCCCTTTAAGATAAAGAATTGATGGCACACAGAACTGTCTCATAGTCTTCTCAATGCCAAGTCATGAAAAAGAGACAATACAGATACTTTCTAGAGCTAGGGGATAATAATTATGTTTTGGAAAATGTCTGCCACTTTTCAACCCACCCTCTTTTCCATTTGAGTAATTTCCCTGCCAACATCCTACACTGTACTCTAAACATATAGATAGAGGAATCCATTTTTGGTTTCCCCTTTCATAGCTCCTATCTGATTATATCTGAATGAAAAGGAGCCCCTGATACCCTCGGGGGGTAGTTTTCCTAATCACGGGGTCCAATTAGGCTGAGTGACAGGCCGGCCATTCGGGATCCCATTGCTATTCAGTTGCTTCATTTCATCTGGTTAATGGGTCAAACTGAGCATAACCCCGCTCCTTCATCTCAGCTCATATTGACTGTCTCTATTGCTCTATCCACTAGGCCTTTAAACTTCAATCACATCGTAAATCCCCTCAACAAACCGCAGTGCAGGTGTGTGTGTGTGTGTGTGTGTGTGTGAACCCTCCTTATGCATGAGCAGAGCAAAACCCACTATCATTTTTCAGACCAAACAAAGGCGTATGATGATGAAAGACGGTGGAAATGTTGAGGCGGAGTGTGTGTGTGTGTGTGTGTGTGTGTGTGTGTGTCTCGGTCATGGTCCCAAGCTCTGAGAACATTTGTATCCTAAACATCTGATCTTCCCTCTGTAGGCTCTAGTGTAAATCACCTTAAAAGTAAATTGCAGTGTACGGGGTAATCCATCTGCGTTTGTTTGGAGCTCAGTGCTTACAACTAATATGTAGAAAGTAAACCGTGCTACGGAACATATAGGATCTGTTGACACTGATATCATTACATGCATGTGGTATTTTTAAAGAAGCATCAGGGTTGAGGGGAGTGTGAGATATAAGGGGTCTCTACAGGTGGCGGTGTTTAAAGCTGAACCCCATTAGCATCCTGGTTAGGGCTGTGGCTGTCATGACATTTTGTCAGCCGGTGATTGTCAAGCAAATAACTGCCGGTCTCACGGTAATTGACCGTTAATTAACATAAGCACATTTAGCATCTCCTGGCTTCCACGCATCGCCTACAAGCCACTGATGCAGACCTTTGGAACATCTACATTTTAAAATGTCTAATAAATCCATTTAATATAGCCTACACCATCACAGTAAATCCATTATTTACTTTAGACAGGTCTAAAGAAACATCATATGAAGAAAATGTAGTCTATTTCAGAAGAAACGAATAGCATACCTGAGTTGTCCTCATGCTAGGCCCTGATATCGCTATGCCATATGGCTGTGGGCTACACTAGTTAATTTAGCATTATATGAAGAACACAATTGAACATAGCTTAATAAAATAGAAAGTATATTTTCTCCAAACGATTTCAAAGGAAGTGCACACATGCAGCTATTCTGTGTTGAGCAGTTAACAAAGAAACAGGTCCTCCTATATGCTTAATTTAGAGTTACTTATGCAACTTTAGTTGTGATACAATCGTTGGGCTATATGTTTTGATTTTTAATACATTCTAAGGCTACATGATGGGAAAAAGTTGCATGAAAAGCATGATTTGTTTCTTGTGCAAGCTGCACACACACTTCATCAGTCTCATTCACAATTTGACAAGCACTTGATAACATTCTCACCAGGCCTCGAATCTTCTGGTGGCATCCCCCTTGTGTGGCCGTAATGCCCCTCAAATAAATCCATGCCTTTTTGCAGCCAAAGTGGCCGTTGTGCCCTCGGGCTGAATATAATAATTATAATTCCCTTCTCCCGGCTGCCGTGCTCCGAAGCATCTCTCATTCACATGGCTCTCTCAGATATCTCAATTCTCATTAGCCAATGCCTGTCACGTGATCGGGTCCTTCTCACAGGCATTTCAGCTAAGGAGTAGGCAACAAGTGAATGAAGACAGACACATCGGGGACACAACTGCGCGCGTCCCTCTTATCGAATTCCGAGGCGCATTTGAAGACATTAGAACTGTCCACAATTAGCCTACTTTTCATCAGCCAACAAGATGAGTAAGCCTAATGAACAGCAAAAGCACTAGCCTATGTCAATCAACTATCCCCCATAGTAAAAAAAGTTGACGTATTCTATTGGTCAACTTGTCCTTCTGTGTAAGAAATAAATATTCCAAACATACTCTGGGACAGTTGTGGGATGCGATAGATCCCAAATTAATACAACCACTCGCATCAAAAAACCTTTTAAAAACAATGAGGCTGATGCAACAGATCAGAACGTTTAGCTTAAAATGTTGATAAACTATTAGGCTATTTCCTCACATTATAAGTGCAGCAATGCGCACACGGCAGTAGGCTATAAGCGCAAATGTTCCAAAATGCAACCAATGTATGCCAGTTAGGCTCTATGCCAGTTATAAAGCAGATTAATGTGCTTAATTTTAAGAAGTTATTTGGCCACTTTAGTTGTGATACAAACCTTATCAAAACATATAGGCCTATGGGCTAGTAGCTAGGTGACTTTAAAGATGATGGCTAGCTAGCAGCTAGGTGACTTTACAGTGGCTTGCGAAAGTATTCACCCCCCTTGGCATTTTTCCTATTTTGTTGCCTTACAACCTGGAATTAAAATGAAGTTTTAGGGGGTTTGTATAATTTGATTTACACAATATGCCTACCACTTTGAAGATGCAAAATATTTGTTTTGTGTGTGAAACAAACAAGAAATAAGACAAAAAAACAGAACTTGAGCGTGCATAACTATTCACCCCCCCAAAGTCAATACTTTATAGAGCCACCTTTTGCAGCAATTACAGCTGCAAGTCTCTTGGGGTATGTCTCTAGAAGCTTGGCACATCTAGCCACTGGGATTTCTGCCCATTCTTCAAGGCAAAACTTCTCCAGCTCCTTCAAGTTGGATGGGTTCCGCTGGTGTACAGCAATCTTTAAGTCATACCACAGATTCTCAATTGGATTGAGGTCTGGGCTTTGACTAGGCCATTCCAAGACATTTACATGTTTCCCCTTAAACCACTCAAGTGTTGCTTTAGCAGTATGCTTAGGGTCATTATCCTGCTGGAAGGTAAACCTCCATCCCAGTCTCAAATCTCTGGAAGACTGAAACAGGTTTCCCCTCAAGAATTTCCCTGTATTTAGCGCCATCCATCATTCCTTCAATTCTGACCAGTTTCCCAGTCCCTGCCGATGAAAAACATCCCCACAGCATGATGCTGCCACCACCATGCTTCACTGTGGGGTTGGTGTTCTCAGGGTGATGAGAGGTGTTGGGTTTTAGTCTCATCTGACCAGAGTACCTTCTCCATATGTTTGGGGAGTCACCAAACGTCGCCTTTTGGCGAACACCAAACGTGTTTGCTTATTCTTTTCTTTAAGCAATGGCTTTTTTCTGGCCACTCTTCCGTAAAGCCCAGCTCTGTGGAGTGTACGGCTTAAAGTGGTCCTATGGACAGATACTCCAATCTCCGCTGTGGAGCTTTGCAGCTCCTTCAGGGTTATCTTTGGTCTCTTTTTTGCCTCTATGATTAATGCCCTCCTTGCCTGGTCCGTGAGTTTTAGTGGGCGGCCCTCTCTTGGCAGGTTTGTTGTGGTGCGATATTCTTTAAAAAATTTTATAATGGATTTAATGGTGCTCCGTGGGATGTTCAAAGTTTCGGATATTTTTTTATAACCCAACCCTGATCTGTACTTCTCCACAACTTTGTCCCTGACCTGTTTGGAGAGCTCCTTGGTCTTCATGGTGCCGCTTGCTTGGTGGTGCCCCTTGCTTAGTGGTGTTGCAGACTCTGGGGCCTTTCAGAACAGGTGTATATATACACACTGAGATCATGTGACAGATCATGTGACACAGATTGCACACAGGTGGACTTTATTTAACTAATTTTGTGACTTCTGAAGGTAATTGGTTGCACCAGATCTTATTTTAGGGGCTTCATAGCAAAGGGGTGAATACATATGCACGCACCACTTCACCAATTTGGACTATTTTGTGTATGTCCATTACATGATCTCCAAATAAAAATCTATTTAAATTACAGGTTGTAATGCAACAAAATAGGAAAAACGCCAAGGGGGATGAATACTTTTGCAAGGCACTGTATAGATGGCCAGCTAGTAGCTAGGTGACTTTAATAAAATCTCCCTAGAGTCGATTGACGCACCGGTTACATAAC